TATAGTCACACATACCCACCCTTATTTTTACTCCCACACCCACACCCTATAATTGTGATTGATCTTTTATAAGCGATCAGACTTATTTTATTTTATTTATGCTTAACGTTTCTGTGCTCATCGTTCTCTGTGCCTAACGGTCCGTGTTCATCGTTCACCGACCCCTGCGCGGGATGCCGTTCCATACCCACACGGACGAAGAACAACTAGAAAAAATCCGACAATCGTTGGGGCGAAAATCAACTATACTGGGACCGAAACATTTCACATGTGTCTATTCATAACAAAGCTACTTTACGCGCTTGGCAACTTCGTCATTCAGTCTTTCATTGTTTCAAGAAAGTTTATCGAATCTTTCTAAAGAAAACGCCCAAAAAAAACAAGTTTACACTACCAAGGTTTGCGCGGAAACCCTTATTATTACCTAAAATTGTGTTATATCCTTAAGGAATCGTAGATTCATCGCTAGAGTAGAGATTTGTGAAATATAAATTTCTAATTCAGGGCTAAAACTTATACTTTTCAAGCCAATTTTGATCAGATCATTTTTTCAATATGAATTATATATTTTACTTTGGATTGTTCGGTTTTGAGCACAAATTTAAAAAATCAAGCAGATTGGTTTGAGATTCCGATAGACATCTTTCACTGGTCTGAGATCTAATTCAAAAACTCAGGAACCTCTGAAAATTTTTGGAGGCTTTTCTATAGGTACAGCACACTATACATAGGTTTAGTTCGATAGTAATTTAGAGACGCCCTTATTGATATATTTTCAGTCATTGTTTCACCACGAAAACCGTCCTTTATCTCAGTAATATTTATACAAAAAAAGAAGAAGTATTAGTGAGAACTACATACCCGAGAAACAATGATTATCTTTATAGAAAGCATTGAACACCTAATCGCGGGAAAGCCAAAGTAATTGTGTTTTAGAATTTGCTGTTGTAACTATAATTTAAAGGCATTTCTCTACTGACGTCATATGTTATGGCATGTATTCAATCATTTTTCCTTTTTAACTTGAAAACTAATAAAATTATGACTTTTTCCTGATTTATTTCTAGTGAAGTAAAATGATTGATAGACTTGACTATTAATGAATAAAGAGCACGCGTAAGAATCATTCTTTATTCTTCAAAACAGACTGTCATTCTCATAAACTAAATAAGATTTATTATCAGAGAAAGTAAACCTACGCAAATACAGAGAATCACTTTTACTGCTTCAATAACTACGATCCATCGTTCTCTTCAGGGTGTGGGTGTGGATGTCGATATACCGGTGTGGGTGAGAATATGGGTGTGGGTTAAAAGATGATAGATATCCACACCCACACCCACACCCACACCCACACCCTCACCCAAGATAGTGCATATATTACAGTATTCTAATGTTTCAAATAAATTTCTGACATATCATTAACGGCTTTCGTCTACTTCCATCCAAAATTTAATAATAACAATGAATTAATCATTCTGTTAGTTAGACAATAATGATGTAGATCTCATTCGAAGAATAATCCCACACACTCATACCCTTCTAAGATTTATTCGCGATAGGACGGTCAAATCAGAAAACGAAATCGGCCATTCGATAGAACTCGTCCAGTTCTATCTCAATCAACTCTTGCTCAAACTTGGTTTAACGCATCGAGAAATCCTTCCAGAAATTACTCGAACCCTGACTAAGGTATCCTATGTCTTCTTCAAATAGGCATTCACCAAACTTTGTCTCTACAAGAATCAAATCATAGACGAAAAACCACACCATTTTGCGGCACAACATCTTGTAGCACAATATCTTGCTGATCTATTAAAAAACAACAAAGTAGGTCTCATTATTTCTTCAACTATCTCATATAAACATTTACACTTTTTCACATAGGCACTCATCATACTTGATGCTGCTGGCAATGGAATCAGAGAGAAAAGAGCACAATATCTTGTTAATTCATTAAGAAACAACGCAGTAGATCTCATTCTTTCTTCAACTATCTCATATAAACATTTACACTTTTTCACACAGGCACTCATCATACCTGATTTTGGTAACTCATCAACTGTAAGTTCTTTTCTCTGTTCAACTATCTCATACAAACATTTATACTTTTTCACACAGACGCTCACCACATTTATTGTCGGTGGCAATCAAGCTGGAGAGATGGTAGCACAACATCTTGCTGACTTATTAAGAAACAACACAGTAAATATCATTTTCTCTACAACTATCGCATACATATATTTACACTTTTTCATACAGACACTTACCACACTTGATTTCAGCGAAAATGAAATCGGAGATAAAGGAGCACAACACCTTGCTGATTTATTAAGAAACAATACAGTAAATCCCATTCTCTCTTCAACTATCTCATACGAATATTTACACTTTTCCACACAGACACTCACCACATTTGGTCTCCACGGGAATACAATCGGAGATGAAGGAGCACAACACCTTGCTGGTTCATTGAGAAACAACACAGTAAATATCATTTTTTTTTCAACTATTTCATACGAATATTTACACTTTTTCACACAGACACTCACCACACTTGGTCTCCATTTTAATAAAATCGGAGATGAAGGAGCACAACACCTTGCTGGTTCATTGAGAAATAACACAGTAAGCATCATTCTCTATTCAAGTATCGCATACATACCTTTACACTTTTTCACACAGATACTCACCACACTTGGTCTCCACAGCAATAAAATCGGAGACGAAGGAGCACATCACCTTGCCGATTCATTGAGAAATAACACAGTAAGTATTATTCTCTATTCCAGTATATCATACACACATTTACATTTTTTCACACAGACACTCACCACACTTGAGCTCGCATGCAATCACATTGGCGACAAAGGAGCACAATATTTTGCTGATTCATTAAGAACCAATACAGTAAATCTCATTTTTTCTTCAACTATCTCACACAATCATTTACGTTTTTCACACAGACACTCACCACACTGGATCTCAGCGAAAATGAAATCGGAGATAACGGAGCACAACACCTTGCTGATTTATTAAAAAACAATACAGTAAATCTAATGTTTTCTTCAACTATTTCATACACACATTTGCATTCTTTCACACAGACACTCACCACACTTATGATCCACAATAATCGAATCGAGACGAAAGTTCTAGATCGTGTAAATGAACTTCTACACACGAGTGAACGATTGGCAAAATCGTAAATGTTAGTGATGAAAATACTATCGTGTTGAACTAGAACAATATGTTTATCACCCCATTATGATATCATTGCATGAGCGATTTAAAAATGACAATAATATTGTTGGACCGTTTTGAAACCGTGTTTATGAATTGTCGATCTTGTTCTACTTCTTTTTACAATAAAATGATCATAATATATTGATTCTTGTTTAAGCTGTGCTCTGAACTGAAGGAGATGTGATAGTATAATTTCAAAGTGTTATTTGTGATTCTGTCATGTATGTTTTTGTCATGGGTCGAGCTCACATCGATATAACATAGTTATCAGCTGTTGCGTATTAATGAAATGAAACGAACTAACAGAAAAGATGATTGTTAGTATATGATCAAGAGAATGGTGGTTAGTACATGTTATGTTAATTGCTCAGCTGATGCTGGTTTCATCTGATTTTGAACGGCATAGTATTTTTGAAAAAATCAGAGAACTATTCGAAAACTAAGTAAGTTTTTTAAAGTTTCTTTCGAAAACTGATTGAGAAGATATCTAGTTCAGCTTCTGATTCATGATATATTTGATATAGGATTAAGGACGTCTCCCAGCGTTGATAATTTTAATGGTGAATGAATGATGCTATGGAAGAATATTATCTATGTATTTATTTATGAGGCGATGAAATCTATGACAATCTTTTGTTTTCTCTGCAAGTTTATGTACGGCACTATTAATGACAGTTAACACAGATTTTTAGCGCAACAATGATAATATAGTAATTAAAGTCTATTCAATAACAAGAGCTGTTTCAATGATTACTAATATATATGTGACGATTGATTGATGTCATCTTCAGTACATTAATTCACAAAAGACATATCTTCGAACGTATATTTTCATCAAAATCAATAAGATCAGAATATACATTTACTACGAAAGTAATTTTCATCAGTATTTCTGACAATCTTCAGTATAATAGTTGACAATATTTGTGTTTTAAAATAAATGTATTTACACTATGTACAAATTGTCAAAACTATACAAATGAGTATCTTCTTCAATGCTTTTTTTGGATTGATTTAAAATAGCAAGCATTTATTTATATTTATCTTTCTGACTGTTACATATGTTTTAAATAAATAATATTAACGATATTTACTTGATATGTCAGAAAAGAACTATAGAAATCATTGTACTAAGTTATAATAACAACAAACAATGACAAAGTATTAATATTGATTATATCATTCTCAGGAATTCCAGTCGATTATTTGTGAATAATAATAAATAAATAGAGAATACTAAAGCCAAATGTACTTGATATGAAATATCCCAAATACAATTTTAAATAGTTTCTAGTCCAATTCCTCTCGCGGAAGTCACATGTCTTAGAATTATTCATCATCAAATGGTTACAAATTGAATGAAGAAGCATTGCTATAAGTTCTCCTATTAAACAAAAGCATCTAACATTCGTGGACAGCAAAACAAAACAATATTTTCAACCACTTGAATTTTATATAGATTTGATCGATTTCTGAGAATTGAAAGAGCTCTATCAAATGAATTATCTATATAAAGACTAGATTTACATTTCAAAGTACAAGAATGAACATATATCACTATTAATTTCAAAAATCTTTCTAAACTAACTGTCAATCTAAAATCATCCAATATTTCTGTTGTTAAAGAATGCAAAAAAATATCTCTTGAATAACATGAGTAAAATAGATTATAAAAAATACACAATGAAAAGAATAAAACATTATTTTCGCTCATTTTTTTTTATTATTCAAGGTATTCATTCAGCTTATTAATTTTAAAATGTTAAAGTAATTCTTTTCCATGTTATATTATCAACAGCATGTACATCGAAATTATTTCCTTGAGAAAAGATTACAATGCATTCAGCCATAGCATATTTTCCTTGTTCAATCTAAAAATTAAGATATTTATATTCAACATTCTTACATTATTAAATATAATTTTATTTGTATTTAAAAATCGAATACCATTTAATGTTGAAAATAAAAATTGTAATTATAACATTTTATAATAATTTGATAAAACACATAAATCTATAAGGTGATTGTACAAGATCACTGAAATGATTTTGAATTTTGTCGTTGGAAGAATATTGCCAATCAATAGATAAACGAAGGTGTTTATTCTATTTAGAAAAATTAATAAAATACGAATTCGATTTCGTTTTTCATTGATCTTTGTAACTCTATATGCACATGATTAGATACAAAGAAAAACTAGGATTGTTGAGAAGTTAAATGAGAGAATATCATTTTATTAATTTTTAGCTTAAATATTTTACTCTGTTATAATATGATTACGGTCGAACAACGGTAAATAAAGTGAATAAAATACTAACTGAAGTAGTAGTTTTATAATGAATATGTGTTGGTAATTGGGTTCGAATATCAGCAATTAATTGATTTAAATCTGATGGAAATGTATTTTGTTTTATTGTTATTAATGAAGATTCCATTGATTTTACTGTACTATTATCAAATGTAATTTCTTCTCATCGATGATTATGAATTTTACAACAAATAAAATTCAAATATAAATAAATGAGATTACAAAAAAAATTATTTTACTCTTCATCATTTTGTATATCATTAACTTCAAATTTTATTGGTAATAAACAACCAAGACAAAGTTCAATAGTTAAATACTAAGTATATGTATATAAATAAAAGATTTTTTATGAGATATTTTAATTCAATCTAAATTATTATTTGTTATTGATCGATCCTGTCACAAGAGACTACAATTATAAATTTCATTAAGATCTATTCTTGGTTTTATAGTTTTACCCATCAATATTGGTGAATCGAATTCAGTAATTTTAATACATTCTAAAAGTAATTCAAATATAGATTAATCATCTAGTTTTATATAGATAATATCTATATAAAAGGGTGGGTGTGGGTGCGCGTGTAAATGAGATTTTAATATAATACTTACATCCACACCCTCAACAATTATTGATTTTTTTCAAATAAAAATAATGTCAAATAGATTTCACGAAAATTTTTTAAGAGAAAAGATGAAATTTATCTTTATATATCTATACTGAGATATCGATATAAATCATACTTTTGTTTTTATGCTTAAATCTGATTATATTGTATACTTATTTATTACGATATAGTTTTTCTTTTCCAATCAAATCATTATATTTATCAATATTTTTATTTTCGAAAGATTTTTTTCTTTCGTTGAAAATTTTATTTTTAGTTGAAAATATTGCCAACTTTCAAAAATCTTGTTTTTCTTCGTTTTATTTACTTTGTATTTTCTTACGTTGTCTTATTATGAAAAACTTAAAACCCATTAGATCAAAAATAAAAACATGTTTTTTTGTTATTTTGCTTCTCTTCTTCGCCTGAACTGATTTGTCACATTTCTTTTTTTAAATTAAATGTATAGTTGCAAAGAAACACTCGAAAAATGAAATGTTATTATTTTACAAAATAGTCACAAGAATTTATTCACCGAAAAAGAAATTCAAATTGAGACATACGAAATTAATTCCTATTGTATCTCAAAATAATTATACAAAATATTACAAGTTTAGAAACTCAAGTGTTTGGAATAGTTTCATTTTGGTAAGTTTGTTCATCGAAATTATATGAAAACTGAGTATAGAAAATATCATAGGACAGTTATCTTGAAAATGATGATATAGCTAAAGAATAGATAGACATACAATCATACTCATCTTTTCACATTGAGTCTCCTCACTTATGTTGACATTTGCACTCAAGTCAAACTTTGGATGGACTCTGATTTGATTTGAAAAATTGTATAGATTCAACAGTGGAATGGTTTGTCCTATATGTGTACTTACATCTATCGTATCGATGAGATAATAATGGATTTCTTTTTCATCCGATTATATGTTTCGATACTATTTCAATGTGAAAGTGTGTCGTGGCAATGTTTTAGCTGTCCGAGTGCTGAATGAGAATTTATTTTGAATATTAGAAATGTTTTTTTTGAGATAATATAAATAATTGAGATAGGGTACAAATTTATATCAACAGATAGTAGTCAAGTATCGATTCTGAACTAAAGTTTGAATGAAGATTTGTGATTTTGATAAGAATTCAATTCTTTTAATGTAATTGTTATAAAAAAACTTGTGTTAAATATTGCAAATGCATGATTGAAAAACAATCATGATCGGAAAAGGTCGATCTTACTTATAAAAATTTATTTTAAAACACTAAATTACTATAAACTGAGATGGTTGCAGACGCAGATGGTTAGGATGTGCTTATTTTATGTCATCCACACTCACACTCACCTTATTAATAATTGCCCTGAATTATTCTAACTTTTATTCGTATTCTCGATTATTGTTCGTTGTGAAGGTTCTTCAACATTTTATTGAAAGAAATACACAGAAGATCTTTCTTTTTCTAATCTCATCTAAAAATATAAATAAATTATAAAATCCAATTAACTTGCAAAACAAAAACAAATTTTTAATATTATCATTGATTATTTTAGATTTCATTCAACATATATTTAATCTATTCACATAAATATAAAAAAATATAATAGTAATGAATCGTTTTAGTGATATTGATTGCTCATTTAAAAAATTAATACCTATTTATGGTTATCGTAGTGAAAAACTTGTTACAATTGAAGAAGCATTAGAATCAATTCAATCTCAGATTGATGAATTACCATATTATATTAAAATAGCAAAAAAACATTGTCATTATCCATCAGAACATGGTTTAACACATGATGAATCAGCATCAATTTATATTTATACAATGGAATGGGGTGAACAAACTTTATATCGTGTTTTAAATCAAACCTTAAGAAATGAAAATAGACATTTATTAAAAGTATGGTTTCCTTATTTGAAATTATTTGATACAGCACTAAACAAATTACCAACCGTAAAAGAAATTGTATGGCGTGGTGTTGCTGAAGATATTGGGAAAAATTTTGCTAAAAATCAAATAATAACATGGTGGAGTATTAATTCATGTTCATCATCTGTTAATATTATCAAAGAATTTCTTGGAAATGAGAAAAACTCTACGATGTTTTTAATTGAAGCAGTGAATGGTAAACAAATATCTGGTTATACAGAATATGAAAGTGAAGATGAAATCATTTTAAGAATGGGAACAGAATTTCGTGTGAAAAGTAATGCATTAGATCATCCAAATGGATTATATGTTGTTCATTTAATTGAAATTGATGAGGAAAATAATAATCATACATCAACATTAGCATCATCAAGGAATCAAATCAGTTCAAGTAAGTTTATTTCATTTTAGATTTTCTTTAAAAATTAAAATCTTCTTTTTCAATTCAGAAAATTAATTAAAAATTGATCATAAAAAATAGTAAAAATGTCTAATTATTGTATTTTTGTCTATTCTATTCATTTACTAATTATCGATCTCTAAATAATCTCTTATTATGCATGTAGTTCGCATAAAAAGTGTGAATATAGTCATTTAAACACTCTTTCCTCGCATTCTCATTCATCTATGACAAACTTGTTAAAGATGAATAACATCGTTTTTTCATTTGCTTAAATTCGTTTATTTCATTAAAATACTTGTTACTTTTCAAGTGAAATTGAAAACTGAAAGGCATTAAAGTCGTCATCATTTTTATTCTAAGATGCTTTTCTTAAGATATTTATATTTATTATCAAGAAAAGATCGCCAAAGTAAAACATTCTCTTTATAACACAATAAATGATATTATGAGATTTATATAAATCTATCAATAGATTTTTCTTTTCTTAAAACTATGAATATTTTTATAATGAGAATATTGTCGTTTTACTAACAATGAGAGATGAAAAAAGAGTAATAAAATGAAACTATAAATATCATTGTAATACTACATGAGGGTGTGGATAAACATCCTCATCCACATTCTTAATTTATTTATTTAAATAAAATTCTTTTATTAATCTCTACAAAGAGAAACAAATGAGATGAAAAAGTTTCTATTAACTTTTCATTTGATTTCAAAACGTGTTTTGTATCGACTGAAATTCATCGGAATTAAAATAAATAAGAGAGAAAACGTTTTGTTTATAAATATGATTTTTATTTCATTGATCAATTAAGTTATTTAAGAGAAAAGTATTCGGAAGATAATTGAAAATAAACAAAATGATATGAGAGAAGAGAAATTGATAGAAGTTGAAGATCAGCGTGACTTAAACCAAATTCAGTCTTAGTTAATCTCAATAATTTTATGTTAAAAGTTCTTTCATTTTTCTAATCATAAATCAGCTAAAAACGCATAAACTTTATTTGATTTCAATCAGATTATTATTATTTTTCATCGAGACAATAACAAAAACAACTAAATGTTATATTTTAGAGGCAAATAATTGTTCATAAAAGAAACAACAAATCCCTAATAGATCAAATTTAAAAATAATCCAAATGAAATAAAACTTAATGGAATAATAATGTTCTTTGAATTGATTTTCAATTAGAAATATTTGATTTTAACGATGTTAATTAGATTTTGTATCATAAATTCGTTTCGCTTACAACTTAACTTTTGTTTTTCTTTTAAAATTTCATATAAATGTAAAAGAATTAATCGTAGAGAAATTCGATTCATAATAAAAACTTCTTAGAAGAAAACTCTGAATTTTTATTTTTTGATATTCTCGATGATTCTATAATTATAAATAATAAATTCATCGAATAGATTTATAATTTGATTCTCTTCTCATCTAATTCACATATTTTTGTATTATTTTAATTTCATTCATCAATTTTAACATAGAAACTCTTTTCATATTAAAAAATTTCTTCTAAAAATATGATTTACTAAATATAATAAAAGATCCTTCACACATTTAAATCAATATTCACAAATTATTCAATTAATAAATTACAGATTTTACTTTAAAATACTTCATTTTCACTATATTTTTATCAGACAGACATTTGAAACTTTGAGAAAAATTTAAGAAGAGTCTAGAGAATTATATAAACATGAGTATCATAATAGAAAACTTGTGAAGTAGTTTTTTTAGTATAATACAATAGAAGATATTAACTCTTTTATTACAAAGGAGAAGGGATTATATAGAATGACTTAGATTGACAATAATTTATATACATTGTACATTATCAATAGACTTTGTTTCTTTGTAATATATCATTCTAATCCAATGAATGAGTTTTTCATGATTGTTTCTTACAGTGACGATCATAATTTGTGATGATCGCATAATCAAATAAAATTTGTTTTTTAATGAAAATTCAAATTTGACAAGTGTAAAATCAAAGTTTCATGTAAAACTAATCTTTTCTTTTTCTTAGATCAAAAATAAATTTTCTTCTTTCTATTAAAATGTTTTGTTTTCATCATTTTCTAGAGTCAAAACACAACAAATACAAACAAAATGCCATTACTGTAGCTGGTGGAAGTAAAGAAGGAGACAATTTCGATCGACTCAATTCCCCTCAAGGAATCTTTATTGATGAAAAGAAAAATATTTTCATTGCTGATTGTTATAATCATCGTATTCTTGAATGGAAATGCAATGCAAAAGAAGGAATACTCATTGCAGGTGGAAATGGCAAAGGAAATCGAATAAATCAATTGAATCATCCAACAGATATGATTGTTGATGAACAAAATCATTCGATCATCATTGCTGATTCTGAGAACAGACGAGTGATTCAATGGTTCAATCAAAATCAACAAATTCTCATTAAGAATATCAACTGTCGTGGCTTGGCAATGGATAGAAATGGATTTTTGTATGTTTCTGATTATAAGAAGAATGAAGTAAGACGATGGAAAATGGGAGAATATAACAATGAAGGAGTTGTAGTGGCTGGTGGAAATGGAAAAGGAGAACAACTCAATCACCTTAATTTTCCTACTTTTATCTTTGTTGATGAAGATCAATCTGTTTATGTATCTGATTGCAACAATCATCGCGTGATGAAATGGAGAAAAGATGCAAAAGAAGGAACAATTGTGGCTGGAGGAAATGGTTATGGAGGAAATCTCGATCAATTATCTTATCCTCGAGGAGTAACTGTTGATGATTTGGGTCAAATCTATGTGGCAGATTTGGGGAATGATCGAGTAATGCGTTGGTGTGAAGGAAAAGAAGAAGGGGAAATTGTTGTTGGTCGAAATGGTCAAGGAAACCAACTGGATCATCCCTGTGGTTTATCTTTTGATGATGAAGGAAATCTATATGTTGCTAATTTTCGGAATCATCGTATTCAAAAATTTGAAATGATATTATGAATGAAAGTTTGATTTTGGAGAAAAAATGAGAACTTTTTTAAAATAAAAAATCGAATAAATTTTGAAGAAAAAGAAAATTTTTGATAAGAAAAAATAAAGAAAAATATTTTTGATGAAATTCTATTTGAAAATTTTATTTGTTTTTATTTGATGAAATTTGAGAATTGTACCTGATCATTATATCAATCATATCAAGATCACGAATATATAGAGGATCAAGTGCTAAACGATCAAATTGTTTATTTATACCAACAAGTGAATGAAATACATCAGTTGTATTGAGTTTTTTATAAATCATCAATAAAATTTCATCAGGTAGATCAAATATATTTAGATTATTATTTTTTAATTTTAAAACGAAAAGGAAAAAAAGATCTTAGAGATAACATTTATAAAGTCAGAATAAAGAAATCTTTTCTTTTCAACTTCAATCTTATACGAAACGTATCAACTCTAATAATATTCCTAAGATGATAGTGGGTATAAGAAATGCTTTCATTGTGCATTGACATATTAATCGACCTTATTTTTGTTTAGGAATAACTTGAGTTAATGCATATAATTCACAGCCTATAAATAATGCTCGATAACGCTGTAAATAAAATATATAAATAATAGATAAAATTAGACTGATACTTTTATAACTATTAACTTATATGGGTAGGATACAAGAGAATATACATAAAAATAATTCTAAAAAATATGCAATATGTGAATACTTTGATAAAAGTCCAGTACCATCAACAAAGAGATTACTGAATGAGTTTAATTCTAAATCTTGAGAGTGTGCGCATAAGTAGTAGTCTGACACACAAGTATAGCGGCACCCACACCCTCAAAATTATTCTTTTTATTTTATTCTAATTAATGAGGAATACTAATTGATTCTATTGAACCACGCATTTGACGACACTTCTATATATATATCACAGTTTTCTCACTTTTTTCTTCATCATACGAGACCTCGTTCAATACTATCACAGTTCAATTCTATATAAGTTATTTTTCTATTAAATTTTCCCGATTTTTCTTCTTCTTCGTCTTTTCTTACAGAGAACATTCTCGTAAAGAACTAGAAATGTAAAAATGTCTGAGAAGGTCATTTATACACATACGTATGTATGTGTACTACCTTATTAGTGGGCTTTATCCATCACGTTTTTATTATTTAAAGAGTTGCTCTCTGTACGCGAGTGCGAGCAACTAAAAAATACAATTAATTCAAAAATAAGTGAACAAAATATTATTTTATTCATTTATCAACTACTTTTTATAATTTCTTTTTTACAATTTCAATATTGTTTTTTACAGCTTTAATATCAGGATGAGTTGGAGGTAATGCACGTTGCCTGATATCCAGAGCACGTTCATAATATGATAGTGCTTTCGAATAGTCTTTCATGTTTCGATATACAAAACCGATGTTGTTGTATGAAGTAGCCAAATCAAGATGATTTGAAGGAAGAGTCTTTTGAGAAATTTCAAGATCTTTTTCGTACAATGAGAGTGCTTTCGAGTACTGTCCTGTCCGAGTATACACATTACCGATGTTATTGTATGAAGTAGCCAACTCAGGATGATTTGAAGGAAGACTCTTTTCTCGGATTTCAAGTGCTTTTTCTTGTGATGAAAGTGCTTTCAGATATTCTCCTGTCTTTTCATACACATTACCGATGTTGTTGTATGAAGTAGCCAAAGAAGGATGGTTTGAAGGAAGAGTTTTTTGTTGAATTTCAAGTGCTTTTTTGTATAACGAAAGTGCTTTCGAGTACTCTCTCATGTTCTCGTACACATAACCGATGTTGTTGTATGAAGTAGCTAAATCAGGATGATTTGAAGGAAGAGTTCTTAGAAAGATTTCAAGTGTTTTTTTCTCAAAGAAAAGTGCTTTCGAATACTCTCCCATTTTGTTATACACCAAACCGATGTTGTTGTATGAATTAGCCAACAAAGGATGATTTGAAGGAAGAGTCTGTTCTCGGATTTCAAGTGCTTTTTCGTAATATGAAAGTGCTTTCAGATATTCTCCGATGTGGTCATACGCATTACCGATGTTGTTGTATGAAGTAGCCAAATCATGATGATCTGAAGGAAGAGTTTTTTGTTGAATTTCAAGTGCTTTTCCGTAGTACCAAATAGCCTGTTCATTATCACCTTGATTCATATGTACAAGTCCAAGCTGATTATAATAAAACGGTTTTTCATCCTCATCAGATGTCTGTTCGAGTAATACGTTATAAACTTCTTCAGCTTTACTAAATTGACCAATTTGAACCAATAATTTACCCAATCTCGACCATCCAGTACCGTCTACTTCCTCTCGTATTCGATCAGTAAGTAATCGTAGTTGCTGATCATCATCTGATGTTAATTCTAATTCAACTTGATAAAGTTGATTCTTATTGTCCATTTGTTTAATTGCATTCACTCGAAACACGGTGTGCATTGAGAAGAGAATTTCTTCTTCTTGATTAAAATAACTCATCTCTTTGATGGAGGCAAACGGTGTTGATTTCAAAGAAGGATCAACGGACATTATAAAGAGAATACCCACTTTATTTAGTTCTGTTGAAGCATGTCGCACAAATTTGAGAGATACTTCTTTGTTTTTACTAGTGGACAAGAAGTTGTTAAATGACATAAGTCCACCTTTTGCTTTCTGAAGTTTTTCAAAGTCTGGTTTCATAAGACCTTGCCCTCGATAAACTAAAAAAGGTTTTCGCCCATAACTACCGGTCTGTTGTTCGTAAAGCTGTTGAATTTGTTGATGAACATCACGTAGAAAGAAGCCCATATTAATGATTATATCGGCATCCATAAGTCGAAGCGCTTGATTGAGCATTTTGTAGGTAAAACACTCACGTGTATACCACCATATTGCTTTTTGTGGATCATAGTGACGTTCAAATTCATTAATCACTTGTAATTCAATTGAATTTCCAGCAAAGACTTCGCGACAACAAACTGCTAAGTCGTTGATTGCCTTGCGATCATATTCGATATCAAGGAGAATTTCCTTGAATAGCTGAGTATACATGAAAGTTGGCTCCAACTGATTTAAATTCTCAGTTGAAGCCATTTCATTTACCGCGAGAAAACTTACGGCAATTGTATCTTGGTCGTACTGTTTAACTGTCAATTGTAATGCTTGGCAAATGTCTTTGATATTTGTATGGACACCTTTGACTTTTGTCCAGTTTTGAGTCCATCCTTGATGTCGAGATTTATCGCCACAGAATATGTAAATGGCATCTAACTGTGGCATGCCATGAATTTCAGGAATCAAATGTTGACCTAATGAACCTGATGTAATAACAAAGGCTTGTTCCTTGTCAACCTTGTTGAGTGCTTGGATGCACTGATCCGATTCCGTGCATAAGTTGACATCGTTGATCACTTTCTTCAACTGAGCTAGTGTATTCTGACAGTCCTTGTTTGTTTCGTCGATGCTGGCATCTACCCAGATGAGAAGGTAGTTTTGTGCCATACGTTGTCGTAGTTGGTGAATATTTGATGAGGTTGTTGTTGTAAGATTTTCTTTTGATTCTTGTGCACTCATGTCGCTTTAGAATGCAAACTAGATCTTTATGTGGAATAAAATTGATAATGGTTCGTTTAATGGAAAGATAAAACTCGTCTCGTCTATTTATATAGGTAGTGACTGGTTTTTTCCCCACTGTTCTGACAACTTCGAATATTTTTGTGTTGTCACTCAAGAACAAACTTCGCCTATTTACTTTTGAAAATAATACTGTGCAGAATACGAAACAGATTAGAGCAGACAAATTTGTTGATAACGTTATCGAAAGAACCAACAAAATAGAAGCCGTAAACCAAATTCATTTTATTACTGTTCTTTCCAACTTTTTTTTAGCTCGATCTGCCTCATTATTGCAGTTTGTCAATGTGTAGGCGACATTTTTGTTTTGATGAAATAAAACCAGAAAAAAAGGTAATCCTTTCACTGATTTAGTTCTTCTCTTGCATTCTTTATCAGATATCAAATTACTGTGTACTTGAATGTATGAAATTTATTATGAAAAAAAACAATGAAAAAGGCTTCATAAAATTTGTACGTCGGGCATGCTTTAATCATTATACCACAAAAAGTAGCAAAAAACTGTAGGCGGGTGTGGGTGTAGATAAATGTGGATGTGCATGCTGTTACATGTAAGGTTGAGAATAAATGTGGGTATCTTTACGTGTGATGATGTGGGTATGAGTGTTGATGACGTGAGCACCCACACCCACCCTTCATAGTTAAATGATACTTTTAATTACAAATCTTTTTATAATACACTTTCTAATATATTTGTCTATTTCGATATGAATGCATATGCATGTAAGAATGAAACAATAAAATGCATAACTAATTGATATGAAAAATTTAAATTTGACTGTTCATATTCGAATTACCATTTCTTTTTGTTATATAAAAAAGAGCGCTGTATTAATAAAAAGTTTTTTTTCTCTATAATTCCAATTGGCAATATAAGTTTCTTTTTTTTATGGTTTATAAATCATTCGAAGGTTGTGCACCAAAACAAAATCCTCGTATTTCATTAAATTTTCTTACTGATATGGTTCAATTTTCTTCTCGAATTATTCGTCTTGTTATCAATATTCTCTATGTCTATCGATTTATTACAGCTATCAATGGTTTACGTTTACGTAGTCAATCTAATGAAGATGATAATATATTTAAAATTCGTGCACCATATATGTGTGCAACTCGACATCATCTATCTGTTGAACCTGATGTAATTGAATTACACAAAGAATTACGTAAACTAATGTACAGGTAATATCTTTTAAATGTATAAAATAAATATCAATCAATGATTAGAATAGATTTAAACATGAAGTTCGACATATTGCTCATACAATACAACATTATCCTCATCTATTATTTCAAACAGTTCCATTACTTGAATCAAGTATTGGAAGATTACAATTTAATCTTGATGATCTTGAAATGGCAGCTACATTTGATGGAAAAACTGATATACAACCAAAAACAACAAATTTAAATTCTATCTCAAATGAATCTGAAAATTCTGGTAAACTTGGACGTCTTGAAATCGATGAAGAACAAGTCTATATAATTACTAGAAACATTCATTTAACACTTCATACTTTATTAATTAATTCGAAGTAATAGATTGAGTTAATTGTATTTTTTTTTATTTTTTTTTAAATAGATTAATACATTTAACAACAAAAAATGGTATCAAAGCTGGCATGTCCACATTACTTTTTCCATTTCTATATGATATTGGAAAAAAAATTTGTCTTTCATTTTATTATTTAAAACTTCTTTCAAAATATGTCTCATATCGTGCTATTCAAACTGAAAATCGTCCTGTTCCACCATTGACTGATGCTCGTGTTAATATCTATCCTGCTAATCGAAATACTATCATAGAAGCAAATCAATTTCTTGTTGATAATGTTAGTTTAATATAAAAATTCAAATAATAAATATCATTCAATTTGATTTTTTTTAGTTTGCAAAAACAATAAAAAACGTAATGTACGATTTAATGTAGCAACTCAACAATGTTTACCATCATCGATTCTAACACGTCGTTTTAGTAACATTAAAAACTCTACAAAATCAAGATTTGACTCATAATATTTTCTATTTTCTGTCTCAGCGATATACACAGAATAGAAACTGACGACCTCTAGGTTTTGAATATGTGCACATATTTTATTGGTTTAGCTCTCTAACACGATTCATAATAATACACAACACACAAAGGTACAAAGAAATAAAGATTCCATATAATCCATAATACTAGCAATATACACCGGCATTAAAAGAATATTCATTTATATTATTGCTCCTAAATTATCTATTTTTCTAAAAATCAATTATGTTTGAAGTATGTATTCTATGATTAGTTCTATAATTCTATTATTTATTATATTTAGGCTCGTCTTTTACACGGTTCAATCTTTGCTAAAGTTATTGAAGGTCTTCGTGAATTAGTTAATGAAGCAACATGGGAATGTAGTGGCAATGGTATTACATTACAAGCTATGGATAGTTCTCACGTTGCATTAGTATCGCTTGTTATGCGAAGTGAAGGTTTTGAATCATATCGATGTGATCGAAATATGAGTCTTGGCATTAGTCTTGTTAGTATGTCTAAAGTATTAAAAACCATGGGCAAAGATGATTCATTAACTATTCGTGTTAATGATGATTCAGATTCAATTATAATTGCTATGGAATCACAAAGTAATATATTCGAAAGAAATCAATTTTTTTGTATCTTTGTTTTTTTTTCTTGTAGATCAAGATAAATTTGCTGATTATGAATTACGTTTAATGGATTTAGATAGTGAACATTTAGGTATTCCAGATACTGATTATTCGTGTACAATTAAAATGCCTAGTAGTGAATTTTCTCGTATTTGTCGTGATATGAGTATTATGGGTGATTCAGTTCTTGTTTGTACAACAAAAGAAGGTGTTAAATTTTCGGCTAAAGGTGATCTTGGTCAAGGAAGTATTCGTCTTGTTCAAACAACAAATATTGAAAAAGAAGAAGAAGCAGTTGTTATTGAAATGAAAGAAGCTGTTGCACTTACATTTGCTGTACGATATTTAAGTATGTTTTGTAAGGCAGCACCACTTTCACCTCAAGTTGGTTTAAGTCTTTCGGAAGATACACCATTAAGTATGTTTTTTTTTATTTATTAATATAAAAAAATAATCTTTCTATTTTCTAGTGTGTGAATTTAAAATTGCTGAAATGGGTCATGTTCGTTTCTATTTAGCACCAAAGATTGAAGATGCAGAAAACTAAATGAACTTATGTGATTAGATATAAACATGTCAGATATAGAGTATTTTTCTGTAGAATAAATAACATATACATATAAATTAGGATATTTTTTTCTTATAAAAAGCATAGTCTTTATTTCGTTTATTCTAGATTATAATACACAATGAGCGATACTGTGAGCTCAATAATTCATTTATTTAAAAAAATCTATGTTTTTTTCTGTATAATAGGCAATAGTTAATAATATAGCTGACAAACCAATAAAAGTTAATAAATGGGAATCAAATGCCGTCAAAAATGCATTAGATGATGCATGCAAAAAAGTAGGATTCAATTTTTTGTATATATAAATTCTTATTTTTTACGTTCAAATCTAGTATTTCAAAGAGACACTTAATTTTACTGAAGATTATAAATTAATGGATGGTCGTCTCTATATCTCATTTATTGCATGTTTGTTTTCGGGCTATGCTTTAGTCTATGATTGGTTAAATCCATTTCCAAAATCACGTTCAGTACTAATTCTTTGCGTTATAGCGTAAGAAATTCTAGTTATTTTCAAGAAAAAGAGACCGAAATTTTTTTATTTAGTTATTTTATACTTATGGGTATTTTAACATTTTATATGCAGTTTATTGAACGTAGTAAATTTTATACTGGTAAACTAGGTATGTCATAGCTTTTATTGGGTATTATGTAAAAGACGCGAAGACCCCCAAATCGGAAAATGATACTACTACTAATTAGAGCTCTGTGGGTCGACTCTACGAAGATCCACGAAGACCCATATCTTTCGCTGGTTAGGTAGAGCTACTCGAGTTGTATACATCCTGAAAATTTTAGTTTTTTATGTACTTGCTTTAAGAAAATAGCAGGGACCACTCTTTCGCTATAATTATGGCTTACTGAGTAAGCCTTACTCATTTTATAGTGTAACCTCTGGTAACTGAGAAGGTGTGGTCCTTGCTATTTTCTTCCAGGAAGTATGTAGAGAGCAGAAATTTTCAGGATATATACAACTCGAGTAGCTATATCTAATCAGCAAAAAATATGGATCTTCATGGGTCATTGTGGGTCTTCGCGTCTTCTATAACTACTCGTTTTTATTTGGATTGTATCTATCAAAATTTAATTTAGTTGATAGAACTGGTCTTGATCCTGTATCTCGATGTACTGTTTCATCAAAACTTAAAAAGTAACTATGAATTTATTAAGAAAACGAGTGTTTATTATATTTATATTTAGATATGATGATAAATATAATTTAACATTAGAATATAATGATGGAAAAGATAAAACAACAAAATCAACACAAACATTATTAACTTCTGTTGGTAATTATTTTGATGAGAATGGTGTTTTAATTTATGATCGATTAACCGATGATTTAAAAAAATTGTATGATCAAGCACGATCGAATGCACGTAAAGTTAAATAAATAAAAAAGAAAAACAAATAATGTTATTTCTTTGTTTTATGTTTTCAATAAACGATTTGAACATCTAAATGTTGATTTTTTTTGATCATGTCGATAGAGTTTAGCATAATAATATTGCCGATTTTGTATATGTTTCATATGAGAATGAAAAAGTGAAAAACAAATAAGATAATAAACAAGATAAACAATTAAAATCGAATGAATTAATCCAATAAATTTATTAATATTCAATGGATAATTATCTTTGATATATAAATGACATTTTGATGAAGTTAATGTTGATAAAAATGATAATGAAGGTAATAATTGAATAAAATGAAAATTATTTAACCAATTCCAAATATTAATATGCGATATATTTGATTGACATCGTTGTAATTCAATACTAAGATGAAATGGTTGATATTTATTCCAAATATAAGATAATAATGAACATATACTCAGTAAAAGACCAATGAAGAATATACGAATAAAATGAATTAAATAGCCTTTTTTGGATAACATTATAGATTGAAATAGGCGGGATTTTGAAATTTGATATATGTATGCTATTAATTGAATAAAAGTAATTGATGCGTTCAGAAGTACTAGTAAATAGTATTTATCTCACGTGGGTTATTTATCATATTTAACACAAAATAAGTGTTTAATAATAAAATAGATTAATTTCACTAGTGATATGTATACTTCAGGGACATTTCTGATAGAATATTGAGTGTCATATATTTATTATCGAAACATTTACTGCATTATTTCAAAGTGACAACACCTACGTAAAAAAAGAATGTTTTGTTCTATTAATTGAAAAAAAGTTCTCGTATGATATAATCAAGAGTACAACAAAGCGACACTAATTTGTTAATATTTAATAATCAATCTTTTTTAAAATTCTCTATTATGTTGAACAAAGAGATATAATAATAGTTAATTGAGTTAAGTACTCTTCCAGATAATTTATAACCTTGGGCTGAACAATAAAAAATGATATTGCGATGTTATTCATTTAAAAGACAACTTTTTTTTCTCTTCTGTTAAATCATTTATTAGTAAATTAATGTTCTAGATTTTTAATTTTAATGAATTTCTTCAAGCTATAAATAATGTCTATATCTTCGTGATTCATCATGATGTACGTAAATAATTACAAGATTTGAAGATTAATTTTGTTTTTTGATTATATGAATAAGTAATCCATGATCAGAAAATCGTCTTATATTAAATTAATGAATTTCTTATCATTATACATTTGATGCATCAACAATTTTATTGAGTACAAAACTTGTGGTTGCATCTTGATTTGTATTAATCATTATTCTTCGACATGTTATAGTTTGTAAAAATTCACCACGGAATATTCGACTTGTTAAACAATATAAATAAAAATTACAACCAAAATGAATATACATTATAGCACGAAGTATACGGAATACAAATACATAATAAGCATTATCTCGAGCAAAATCTGGATATTTAACAATAACTTGTTCAAGTAAAATAAGATAAATTGTCACTGGTACTGTTGTACAAAGAAATACAATAACACAGGATGACATCATTAATGACATTTGTCGTTCAATAGATCTTCTATGTGATAAGGGTTTTTTTTTAATTGTCTGACTACCATTTAATGTTTGTTGTATATTTGTTATTTTTGTATGTCCATTTTCATTTCCAACATTTTCAAAATGTCGACGTTGTCGTCGAAGTATACAAATAATACGTACATTACAAAATATCATTATACAAGCAGGTAAAAAACAAAAAACGATCATATCAATTTTCGGCCATATAATTTTATAGAAAAAATAATAATTTGGATATTCATCACGATTTTCTAAACAATGTGCTGTTGTTCGATTTCCACCACGTTCTTGACCAATACCAGCTGAAAAATAATGTCCATTAATACCGCATAGAATAAGAAAAAAGATTAAAATCATAATTAATGCATTACGTGGTGTACAAATAATTTTAGCACGTAAAGGTATTTCTGTACGTAAAAAACGATCGAATGCTAAACCAACAATACACCATGATGATAAATCCATAAATACATATGCAAAAAATGTTCGAAAACGACATGCAAGTGCTGAATAATTTTGTAATTGAATAGAAAATGCATCTGCCAAAAAAAACCATAATGATGTTATAAGTGCAATTGTATCACAAATCGAAAGTATAAGAAGAAATATACTGCTTGAAATTTGTCGCATACGATTACTAGAAAATGTAATAAGAGCAAGTAAATTACCGATAAATCCTAACATATATATAATAGAATAGATTATTGTACCAATACGATCTCCTAATGCATTATAATCAATGGATACTGTTGATTGTGGAGATAGAGAAGTTGTATTAATATACATTGTATATGTTAAATTTGCCATTTCGTATATTAATGTAAAATAAGATATCTAAGAGGAAGAAATACTTTCTTGTTTCCTTTTATAAAAGTATGTTATCATGAAAGAATAGTAGATTCATTTTTTTCAATAGAATGTAAATTTGTGCTTCATTTAACTTGCTTACAGGAAGAGAGAAATAATTGAGTGTCTGTTAAAAATTATTGACGTCAAATAAACTGGTCATATAATAATATTTCGAATAGTATCTTTTATCATATTCAACATCATCATAAACAAAATGTCAACTCTCTCTTTTTTAATATACATAATTTATCTTTGATAGTTTTTAATTGCCACCATTTTCTTTCACATTATTCTGTCTCTTTCTTTTTCTTTTTTCTTCTTTTTTTTCCACAAGAAAAAAAAATAGTCTACTTATTCCTGACAAGAGATCATTATCTTAAAATACCGTTTAATAAATGTGCGAAATTGACAGAACTTTTGAATTATTAATTAACTGCTTTTAATATTTTTCTAGAAGACGTAAATGTACTTTGTCACTTATCACAATAATATTGTGTTGAACTTAAATTTAGATCTTTTATGATAAAATTTAAGAAAAATGTTTTTGATATGAATTTAAATTGACAGAAAATTGACGAAGAATTTGTATTAATATTTGATGACAGGTTACGGAACAACCATATAAATGTAAAAATATCTTGCTTTGTATTATAAAAATAAACTATAGTTGTATTTAATATATTGTTCCAGATAAAGTATAGTTTATATTTGATAATAGAAATCTAAGAACTTCCTTGTTGTTGGTTAAATAATCTAAGAAAAAAAACGAAAGAATATAAAGAAAAATCTAAGAGTCTAGTAATGGAAAAAAAATATCAATAAAGACATATACCGGAAATGAATTTTTGCGTGCTTGAGAAGAGATAATTCAACATTGCTATCCGTTGTTCCCGGTCTAGTACTAAACTCGAAAAATAAATAATAAAGAAAAAAACTCTCGGAAAATTAAATCTAGACTAAAATAGAGTCTATTAGTTGATGCAAAGTACGTAGTTTGGCAATAGAAAAACAAAAGAAAACAACCTTGTAAGTATGATTATTTATAGATAAAAAAAAAAAGAATAATATAACATTATATATATATATATGAGAAAATCTGCTTAAATCCACAGGTGGCTTTAAGGATTGAAGGTTGTGTTTGATAATTGATTTGAAGCTTTAGGTCAAATAGAATATTTTTAATTAAAAAAGAAAATAAATATATTCTTACATCAAGATAGAACTAGACAAATGAAACATTTATATATCAATAACAAAAGAATACATAATTATGATTCATGATTAGAATAAATAAAACGTTACATATAATAATGATTATATAATTAATATATCATTTAATCTAGACAGTTAATTAAATAATGAATATATTAAGCTACTAATTGCATGTAAATATTGTAAAAACAGTTCCTCTCTTTCTCATGTCGAGATGTCTGATACATAATAATATAAGGAATAGACATACCTTGAACATCACATTCATAATTAGTTGCATGTTAATGAACTTATACTCGTAGTTCGTTCTATACTTAGACTTTTGTATGTGATGAAAATAGAAAGAAGTTTTATTTTCTCCCGTGTTGATAATCTTAGAAATATTCTATAAATAAGATCTTTAATTGGATATATTATATAAATATGGAAACTCAATGTAAAAGAAAACACGATGAAGTATTTTATATTTATACGATATGAATTACCATTTAAATATCATGAAAATATATGATTAAAAACTAAAAAGACGAATGATCATGTCAGAAGTAAAAGTATGCTTAACATATTGCAGATAAGTCATATGTAATATATACAGATGCTGTTTCATGGATGTCAATTATACTTATTGAAAATAATTTATTTAGTTAACAGTAAAACGATGAACGGCTAGTAAAAATGATAAATAAATAATTATCAATGTTTAAGAATCGACATTGATAAAAGACATAAGTTCATTGATTGATATAATTCTAAGAATGTACGACGAGAGCACTGCGTTCTGATATACATTTTCATTATTAATCGATAACCTGGTTTCTAAATACAATCGGATTAAATTCTTTTTCTTTTTCTATGAAAATATTTTTAGAATTGTCTTCAATCATATTAATTGAATTAGTTCAAATAATAACACTGCTTATTGATTTCCTGTTTTTTTATACGCTTTCAAATTTATTGACACTATATATTTATAGGAAAAACAACAAAGTTCTATCATGTTTTACTTTCCCACCCATCAAAAAACAGTTCTTTTTGTCATCTAGATCATACTATGATTATGTTTAGACTTGTCTAGCCTCGAATGGATAAATCTATCTGTCATTTTTATTCTAGATAATTTTCTTATTTCTAATGATGACATCAAACGACCTAGAAAGTATTTTCAAAGCTTAAGATAATCGGTATACTTTTATTGAGAATGAAAGAAATATAAAATCGATTTTAAGCATGTTAATCTCTATACTAACAGTTTATAATAAGGCACCTATTCAAATGCTAAGTAAAAATATATAACTACTAAGTAAAATTTGTATATATTCGGTAAGTAAGTTGAATGCTCATTTAATATAATATTTCTCCATAATTAAAATTTTTTCTAAATATATAAATAAATATATATATTAAGTTTGTAATTATTAGGTAGGTTTATTGAATTTATCGGTAAAAAACACATTTTTGCAAGAAAAAACCATAAGGTTGATAAGTAAAAATATATAACGAGTAAGTCGTTATTTTCCGTTCCTTCTCTTGTGTACGTTTCTTTTTACACACATTAGACATGCTAGATTTTTCTATTTGTCATCTTTTCATATGTTTGTTAAGATTTATTCCAGCCACTCTACCTCGATCACCCCATAGACCTTTCCTAAGAATGTATGATCCACTCCCCTATATATAGCATGTGATTTTTACAAATAAATAATGTGTAATCAAAGTGTACTGATATTGAGTCTTTTATAACCGAGTATTGTAAAGTTACTCATCTGACACAAGTTTCGTATCCATATACAATGGCAATTTTTGAGGATAGTCACACCGAAAAGCTACCAAAGCATTGCTAATCGATTAACTGTTCAATCAAATTTTTTACTACATAAAAACCTATTTATTTACTTGACATTGTTCAACGTTTTGCTTAGAGAACTAAATGTGTTCATTGACCATTTATATAAATTACTTAGTAAAAATAGAATTTTTTACTTAGTTTTCATTCAAAATTACTTAGCGCTTAAATAGATGCCTTATAATAACACTTATATTTGTCGCAATAAAATACTTCAAAATAATAGTGGAGCATGCAATATGCACTGTCTATCAATTTTTAAGATCAACATTTGCGCACAAAAATGTGTTCTATAAATATATATATATATATTTAATATTGATAAAATTGTATGAATTGTTTAAATAATTTTCTTAATTACATCATAGGTATTCTGCTTCTATAATACAACATATAAATCTATTATGTTTCAGATATTATCGAAATATCTAAATTATTATATATGATACAAATTAAAACTGAAATATGTTTGATTGTTTTATATAGTTGACCTGTTACTTATAGATTTAATCAGCTGAAGTCAAATATTTCCTTCGAGTTTCTGGGTCAATTCATCTTTTGAATAGAAATTACATCTCATGGGTTATTCATTGTATAGAACAATGGAATAATATATAATAGAATTTACTCGTTCGACATTGTTAAGAAATATAATACCAATTTTAATAATTTTTCAAACTCCATATATTTTTCAAAAAAAAATAAACAACGTTAAAACGTATATTCTGACGTTAATAAAATTGTAATATGACTATTTCTCGTAAGATCTGTAGTATGGAGAAAACTTGATTCTCATAATTAATTTCACTGAAATATAAATCTTGTAGATATATAACATAATCTATTTATTTAGACGGTGTCTATCTTCATTTAATTCATACCCCACACCCTTCTTTATTCACCATCTTGTGAGTGTGGATATACGATGAGAGACAGTTATACTCACACCCCTTCAATGTGGCACGTTATGATTTACAAGTATATTTAATACAGTTTATTTTATTTTCTGATTTATTTGATTCTTGAAAAGCAAAAGTTAAGAGTGGCAGATTTAGCTTGTTTTTTTCTTGAAAAGATTGATCAACATGTTTCCAACTATTAATCCACGTTTTCACCATGCCGTTTAGGTGAAAATACGCAGACACACTTTGAAACAAGACTGGAAGCATGGAAAACCTAATGAAATCCAGCTTATAATTGTGATAACATATGCAAATCGATAGAGTACTTTGTCACAATAATTCGGATCGATTGGATTTGTATACTGGACTCTATTAGCAATAGAATATATCCACACACTCCCAATGATAAGGCAAGCAAATACGAATAAAGATATGAGTATTGTCAAGAACATTGAAGTCGATTTTAGACAAGATCCGGTACTACTTTCGTAGGAGTCTAGTATACAATTACCGAATGGTATTACACAACTCACAACGAGCATGAAAATAGTGAGACTTCCAGCAACAATCAGATAAATTGGAATTTTAGGTTGAATAGGACACTGATGTTGATATTTTATACCGATCACAAGTTCTGCTATTGGGATACATAGACTTAATGAAATCACAAAGAGGCCACACACAGTTGCGCAGGCAACTAGTCCAGGATCTCGTGTAGGTCCACTTCCTGATAGGGGAAATGGGTAATGTGATGATGATGATATTGATAATGTTGATGTCGAATTGTTAGCCAAAACGTGCTGAACAATTGGATTTTCATTATTAACAGCCATTTTATTTTGTGTATATTATGATATCGGCTTTGGAGTATCAACGCGTAATTCAATATGATAATTTTGAACAGCTGATACTATCAATTTGCAGCAGCTGTGAATATTCTTCAAATGTAAAGTGACTACAATTAGAGACAAGGTTTTTCGTCCGGATTTTATATTACATCGTGTTGTTTATTTTGTTTCGCTTGATCGAATGTATGTAAGTGAATAATAGATTTTTTCCATATAGTAATTTTCTCTTATCATACAGTTTTATCTATATTAAGTTTGCGATGTTACAGGTAGATATCTTATTCATATATGTACATCCTTTAATGAATCAAGTCATTTCACAACGTTATGTATATTCCGTTTTAAAACGGAAGTTGGTGCGAAGGCAACTTATAAGAAACAAAGTTTTAGCGTCTCGATTAAACTCAGAATAATTATGAATAATCTAAAGAACGAAGTTTTCTAGAGGATGTTAGCGTGGGTATCAATTCAAAATTACAAAAGTTAACTTTGCTCTCTTGAATCATATGATCGAGAATTTTATGCCTATTTAACATATTTTTTAGTATTTAATCTACTTCAAAGTAGTGACATTAATTATTCTTTGATGAATATACTTTTAAATTCATGCAATACATTAACGTGATGAATTAAATATTTTTTTTCAATCTCAACTCCATTGAATCGTCTATGATTAACATAAAAATAATTTCATTTCGATTATTGATGGTATATTCAATGATGATGAATACTATTTAAAATCGAGTTACTATTATTTCGTTCGACAATTTTTTCCGAAAAAGAAACATGTTTTTTTTGCTCTTGTTTGATAATGCGAAGCAAAAGTTCCGGAAGCATTAGTCTTTGATTTGCATGTGTAGAATAGAAGTAAAAAAAAGTATGGTATACGGTGTTATCAGTTATATGACATTTTTTTCTTTTTTACATAAAACACAACAAAACAATTCATTGTCAAGTCAACACATATGAAAGAAAAGACAATTTTTTAATGTAATTCAAAATGGTTGTCATCTATAAAGAGGTGATACGACGAGTAGGAATAGAAAGAAAAGACAAGTTGAGTGAGTAATATAATTTAATCAGCTAGTCGTGAAGCAAGACAGAAAAAAAAGAAAGATTAAATTTTTATTGTACTAATCATGGCTTGTTGCTCTGGGAAGAAAACGAGTGGTAAAGAACCACAATCAATTAGTATGTTAAGATAATTATTGTCAATAATTCAAGTTTATTTATACTATTATTTATAGAAAGTGAATCAAATCCACCATCGGAAAAAATTCAACCAATAACACCAGTTAAATCTGCAAATCCCAGTTGAGTTATTTTCTTAAATATCATAATTAACCATATAAAATATATCGTTTTCAATAGAGATTGAATATACAATTACTATAAAAACAGGTAATAATAGAAATTCGGGGACAAATGGACCTGTTTATATCAAAATTTTTGGTCGCGATAATAAAGAAACTGACGATATACTTTTAACAAGTGCTTCAAATGAAAAAATTTTTCATCAAGATTCAATAAAAAAAATTCCAATTCAAGCTATTGATATTGGTAAACCACAACGTATTATGATTCGTCATGAAGATAAAACAAATGGATGGTTTATTGATTATGTTGAAATATCAGTTCATAATTTTTTAATTAGGTTTTTGGAATGATTTGAATTAATTAACGAAAAAAAAAATTAAAATATATCTTTAGATTTGTTGCTAATCGATGGTTAGATGAAACAAAACATGATCGAAAATTATCCGCAGAACTTTTTGGTTCCGAACAACCAGGTTAATATTTTTTTTTCAAGCTATCGAAAACTAGAGATTCTTTTGTTTAATTCTAGCGACTTCGTATGATATCGAAGTTCAAACAGGTAGTGAACAAATAGAACCGTTAGATTCACCCGTATATATGCAAATATTTGGAACAATAACAAATACACCGAAGTTCTTCTTAGAATCAAAAAATGCTTCATTTACAAAAGATTCAAAAGCAAAATTTAGTGTTTCAAGTAATAATGTTGGCGATGTAAGATAAATAATTTTCTCAAATTTTATTTATCGTGTTTGTTTTGTAAGATACAAAAAATTATAATTGGACATGAAGGTCTTGGTACAGTTAATGATTGGTATTTAAAAAATGTTAAAGTACAAACAGATACACAACAACATGAGTCTGTTTCGAATAATTCAATTTTTTTCCTTGGAAAAATCTACTTATTTCTTTTAGATATACTGCTAATAAATGGTTGAGTTTAACGAAAGATGATAAAAAACTATATGTTGAATTAAATCAAGAAACACCTCGGGCGTCATCACCTTCACGTAATACGAATAGAATATTAATTAAATTGCATCTTTCTATTTTTATTCAGCTGCAGCGTATTTAGTAACAGTGCACACAGCATGGGTTCAACCAGCTGAACCGATAGAAAATATTCAACTAACTATTCGCGGATCAGATGGATCTATTGATAAGGTGTTATTGAAAGATTATGCGAAATCAAATGAACAGCAACTTTTTCAAAAAGGCAGCTCAGATCAATTCGAAATTAAACATAAAGATATTGGCAAGGTAAAAATATTTTTTGCATTAAGATATTAGCTCACATTTTGTTTTTAAATCATAATAGATCGAAAATATAACGGTTGGGTTCGATGATAATGACCAAAAATCCGCTTGGCTTTTGGAATCTATTGATATTCAATATGAAGAAACATTGTATCAGTAAGTAAAAATATTCACAAAGAACGATTATAAGTCTTCTTTAGTTTCCAAGCACAATGTTGGTTATCGAGTCGCCTAGGACAAAATTTCAATTGGATTACAATGAAACCAGATCCCTCGAATGATGGTAATATGATATTTTAAGACTCATCATCCCTTTTAATCTATTATCAAAAATATTCTTATACCTTCATTTTTCTATGTTAGATATAAATTATAAAGTAATTATTGATACTGGTGAATCTGGTATTAATTCTAATGTAATATTATGTATCTATGGTGATGAAAATATAACAAAAAATTTTGCTTTAAAAACAATCAAAGATGGTACACAGGCTAAATTTATTAAAGATAGTCATTTAGAATTCGATTTAAAAGGTGTTGATGTTGGAAAAGTAAATTATTTCGAAATAAGCATTTAAAGATTAATATATATATTTTTAATTAGATAAAAAAGATTAATATTGGACATGATGGTAAAGGTAATGACCAACAATGGTTTCTTAAATTCATTAAAATTGAAAAACAAAATGAAAATTATACGTAATTTAAGAATTATTTTTTTTGACACGAATAAAATTTTTTTATTTAGATTTAAAGTTAATCAATGTTTAAGTGAAACACAACAAAATTTTATTGATCTTATTCCAGAAGAATTATTACCTAAAAAAGGTAAATATATAAAAGATTTTATGCAACAATCAAAATTTTTGCTTTTGATAGATCAAGCTATTTATAAAATTACGGTAGTAACAAGTTCAGATGATGATTCAAGTACAGATTCTGGTGTATTTATGAAAATTTATGGTGACAAAGATCAAACAAAACGATTTCAATTGACAACGACAAAAGAAAATTCGGAATTATTATTCAAACAAGGTCAAACAGATGAATTTGAAATTGAATTAAATGATGTTGGAGATGTAAGTTTAATTTTAATCATTTTCAATACAATTCTTATTTTTTGAAATAGATTAATAAAATTAATATTGGACATGATGGAAAAGGTCTTCGTCCAATGTGGCATGTAGAATCAGTACAAATTCAAAAAGGATCACAAATTTTTAAGTAAATATCGAGAGTTTTTCATAAATATTCGTAAAATTAAATATCTATTTAGATTTCATGCAGATCAAGTTCTCGATTTATCAATTCAAGATATTGACTTGATACCATTCGTACCTGGTATGAATAGGAAAATAATTACATATAATTATCTTAAGTTACTATTTAGAAAAATCACCGAGTCCGAAACCTACTAAATCAGAAACCTCACGAAGTACTTCGCCCGAGGACAAGGTTAATGTGAAAGGTTTGTGAGCTTTATAATCATAAATTATTTACATTTCTATTATGTAGAAACAATGTATAAAGTTTCGGTACAATATGGTTCATTGCAACAAAATTCTAATGATGATGATGATAATACTAATTTATATCTAGTTATAGTTGGTGTTAATGGTAAAACGAAAAGACTACCATTACCAGTAAATAAAAAGGATGAAATTGAATTCAATACAACTGATGTTGGAAAAGTTAGTCTCATTTTCATATATATATATAATAAATTGATTCGTGTTTATTTTAATATAAAAATAGATTTCAAAAATTCTTCTTGGACAAGATAAAAATGAACATGAAATTGTTTATCACGTGGATAATATTATAATTAAACAAGAAAATGAAATAACAACGTAAGATGACTACATGTCTGTCGGAAATTGACAGGAAATATCAAAAGATGTGAAATATAGAAAAAGTAGTTTTGACAGTTCCTTTTTAATATTAATTAAATTTATCGTTTGATTAACTACAAATTAAAATTACATTTTTATTATTAAAAATACTTTTTCAATTTAAGAAAAGATGTCAAGTTTTCTGAGAGACGTACTAAAATAATCAGTCATTTTTTATTTATAGTGAGTTTGATGTGTTTGAACCTTTTGTTTAGTACTAAAGAATCCGCGAACATTAGAAATACATCAAGCTTCGACACTAAGTGGTATGAAGAATAGTTTCAGACGTTATCCAAATCCTACAGTGGGATTCGCCCTGAGTATATATTAATTTATCAGAAAGTGAAGTTTTCCTCTCCTCAATTTGCTCTGATATCTGTAAACGTTCATTTTTTCCAATACACCGCATCTGTTATTTTCACTCATCACAAATATTTTCTAATCATACAACCCTCGTTGCCTCCTTTTTTTAACTTTACAAATGCCTTCGGTTATATTTCAAACATAAAATTGTCTATTATTAAAAAACCTTGAAAAAAAAGATTACTATTAACTCATAAATGTTTTATTTTAATTAGATTCAATACTGAAGATGCCATTAAACAAAATACTGAACTTGAATTTACGCCTTCGCCTATTCGGCAACCATCGATTACACGTAAAAGTTCGATTTCTCCTGAAACATCAACATCAGATGTCAAAATAAAAGGTAAATGCATAAAATGTTTGTTGTTAAGTGAATAGAAGACGCCTTTTTCATAATACAATCAAAAGAAAGAGCAAAAAAAAGCCGACTCAGTCGAAACAGAACAATATAAAAAAAACGTCTAAACATTTTTTTTCTCTTCTTTAAAATGAAAAGATCTCAATCTGCTAGGCCTTATATTAAAAAACGGCATGGTAAAAAAAGCAAAATCTTTATTAATCCTATCCATTATTTCTATTTCTAGATGTTGATTATACAATAAAAGTTGTAACAGGTGATAAAGCATTTAATGGAATAGTTAATATTAAAATTCGTGGAGTAAATGGTATAATAACTATTCCATTATCTGATACGAATAGTGGTGCAAAACCATTTCAAGCCAAATCATCTGATGAATTTACAAATCGAACAACAGATGTTGGAAAAATCAAACGAATTACAATTGAATGTCATGATATTGAAAAGAGAAATACATGGCATTTAAAAAGAATTCAAATTCTTAAAGGAAATCAAGTTTATAAGTAAGAAATAAAATTTGAAAGTAAAAATAAAAATTTATTCAATATATTTTAGTTTTCTTGCTAATGTACGTTTGGATTCTAAAGAACCAAAAATTGTTCTTCATCCTATTGATCAAAGAAAAGAAGATTATGTTCAAAGTGAATTACGTCGTTTAAGAACTAATCTTCGAAATGAATCATTAAAAATGCATCAACCCAAACAGTTAAATTCTTTAATCATACATATTAAATCATAAATTTATTTTTATTTTTTTAGTAAAGCACATGAACCATTTGTTTATAACAATTTAAGTCCATATTTTGATACTAGTACTGTTGAAAGAGCAATATATGGAGTAAAAAAAATTTTTAGTTATATATCCTTTTAAAAACTTTGCTCTTTTTTTCCAGCCAATAGAACCTCCATCTGGTTATTATACACGTATAACAGCATTAAGTATTGTTGAACCATGGGAAGCATATGGAATGGATTACGGAGTTAATTATGAATTATTAAGATCACGAGCAAACCGTAGTCAAAGTGCAAAAAGATCGTAATATATTATTTGTTGAATATTGATTGTTTTTTTTAATAAGTCTATAATATTAGAGCGTCGACTCAAAATGGTTTGATGATTCTTCCACCACTTTCACTTCCTTATGGTGGTCAGATAACATATGTTAATTCTGGTAAAGTTCCAAGTTCACATTCAACATCATCAAAAACTAAACATAAATCATCATTAAAACATACTGGTGAACAAAAACACACAACTACAACTAATGCTTAAACATTTATTTTAATATTGATCTATTTTCTTAATTATTATTATTCATCTGTTTATGCTATTAACTGTAATTAATAAAAACCTTATTTACATTTTCATAATCTAATAAAAGAGAATTTATATAATAATTATAACTCTCTCGACATTAGAGAGCTGTGGGTCCACATTTTTTTGGGACTTCTATTCGATCCAGACCCGATCAGACGCACACGCGGATTCTTTTTATCAATATATAGCACCCTCTATGTGCAACGTAGAGATGCGGGTCTACGGTTTTTTGAATCCGGACCCGACCCAGGCCGAAAAAAGAACAATTTATTAGACACGGTCGGGTTCTACTCGTAACTCCCTACTTGATATTAAACGATTTGCACGAAGTCATCTTAACACTAATGTTGATCATAAAGGAACATATCATGAGTAGTGTCCGGGATTTTTCATCCCAATCCTGACTGTCTCTCACTCAACAGAAATCCGCCCCGATCCCGGTCCCGACAAAATATTTTTTTGCGACTTTCGATGCCGTTACCATTTTCTGCGAATACAATTCATCCAGACTTAAAGCCCATTAATGTATTTACTCGAAATTCCGTAGTCCCTATCCCGTTTTTAACAGGAATACCCGTCCCGCCGGACCCTAATCATAAGTCTCTACCCCATCAGATATGAATAAATACGATAGTTTCATACAAATATTTTTTTTCGTGTTATATACAATACATTAAAAAGAATTTCACACATGTTTTGCACAAAGAACAAGACCAAATTATAATTAATGCTATCATTTACATATTGCAACATTGACCACAAAACAATAAATCAAAAAGAAAATTTTGCGTTGTAGAAAGAAAATTCCAATACTGGACGGACAACAAATAATAATAATAATTGTAATAATAATAATAATAATAGAAAAAGAAAAAAAACTCATGATGAACTATAGAATACTGAATACAATAATTAGATAATAAAAAACAAAAGCCAACCATAGGAAGTCACCGTTTAAAAGACATATGTATATATACAAATTTATATTTGACAAATGTGCATGAGATATATCATTTGAAGATTGAGCAGCATTCAAACATAATGGCACAGCACCGGTAGTCTATCTGACATTATTTATTATTATTAACTATCGGTTGTGTTGGTAAAGAATTTGAATTTGGTTTATCTGATGGAGAATCAACCCAACTATAATCAGGTTTTGTATCAATAGCATCAAGAAAATCAATTTCCATATCCTATGAAACATAAATATATATACATACATGTAAATTTCAAATTCATAAAAATAACTTACGACAACAACATTCGTTGCTTCACGATGAAGTACTTCGAAAATACATTTTTGTACTTGTCCATCCGTATTCATTTGTAAACAAAGTAGACGTTCAGCAACTAAATCGATAAGTTTTCATTTAGATATAAGATAACTAATGACTTTCTTTACAATATCTCTATATATTTATGTCATAAGTAGATCTCAATACTACTAATGGAATTTTACATGAATAAACATAAGTGAGTAATTGAACGTAAATTACATCCGTTTGTCATATTTATGTTGTCTAACTTTATGAATGAACTCTCTCAACTAGAAATATCATATATGAGATCGATTTATAACTTACTCAAAGCATCCAATGCTCTTAATTTTGATAGAAGAAGAAGTAATTTTGAAAAATGTACTTGATCATTAGCACGATTTTTTGTTATATATAATCTTTCAGTTTCACAATAACGTGTTTGAATTTGTTCAACTTTATTTCTCGTTGTTTCACCTTCAATTCGATCTATTCAAAAAAATAAATATGAGAGAATTATTTCATATTCTAAAAATGAATATTTTTTTGCTTTTACCATGACTAAAAAATATAATAGAACAAAGAAGTACAAATTCTTCAATGGTTAATTCTAATCGACTAAATATTCGACAAAATTGAAAAAATGTATGTCCATAACATCCAAAACCTTGTGTCATAAGAATATTTTCATCAACTGTTAAACCATTTGATAAATATAATTTATCTTCTTCTGGTTCATAACGATAAGCTAAACGAAGTAATGCAACACCATGTACACCTAATTTAAGTAGATGTGCACGTTCTTGAATGGATAATTCATCATTCCCTGGCATTTGCATACAAAATTGTATACATTGCATAATACCCTTTTGACTAAATTCATCCGTTCTTTGCCAACAAAGATCTGGTTTTTCCTAAAAGTAAATAAAATATATAGAATTTTTTGATTCAATTTTAAAGATGAAAATCCTTAAAGTAGATCCGAACTAGAGATGTGCGGGACCGGGATCAATACTTGAATCTGAGGCTACATGATGACTTTATTCAAGAAAAATGAACCAAAAAAGTACTAATCGTCGACTAAACAAATTAAAAAACGAGTATTGAAGAATTGTTTTAGAAATTCTATGAATAATTTTGGATTAATTGTCTCTGGAACGATATTAGAGACGAGCGGGATCAGTTTCAATCGCCGGGACCAAAAAAAAAGCTTTACCAGGACTGGCACTGGGATCTGGATCTAAAAAGGTTGGCCCCGCAAACCTCTAACCCGAACCTATTCTATAGATTTAGTACATAACTTTTTATTGAAAGTACATTTCTAATTTGAATTCTACAGGTACTCATGTCGTGATCCTCATTGACTACACCGACCTTACATAGATCTCATGAACTATTTCCGCAAAACACGTCTCTTCTGATCGTAAAATCAAGGTTATCAAAATTTTAATTCATTTACATCGATTTCTTGTGAAGGTTTGAAATTAAATGTTGATTTATGTAAATTAACACAAATATTAATCAATTTATCACCATCAATCGGTGATATTTTTGGTTCGACAACGACGACAGGTGGTTCATTGGATGGCACTACTACTGCTGGAGTTGTTAAACGTTTTTTTTGACGATTATTTGTCGGTTTTACATCATTTGGTTTTAAGAATTTTTTTGCATGATTTATTATTCGTAATTCTTCTTTACTCATACCAACGGAAAAACATTTTTGAAAACGCTAAAATGATATAAAATAGAAATAAAAGAAAATTTCTTTGTTTTTTTTCATTACACAATATTGACATCGATTTCTTGTCATTTTATTTATTTCACAATTTTGATCTTTATGACATTGATAAGCCATATTTTTTTGTACACTACGTCGAAAAAAACCCTTTTTGAAAAAAAATAAAGAAATATTTCTTTACAATTCAAAATATAACATTCATACTTTGCAACCTAGAAAATAAACAGAAACAAAAAAGAATGAATATTTTGTTTATTCTTAATAAATAAAATACCTTCACAGCTTGAAACACCATAATGATAACCTGAACTTTTATCTCCACAAACAACACATGGTTTATAAACTCTTGGTGGAGGTGGTGGAGATGAAACTGGTTTTTCTATTGATTGAACATTTACTTGTTGAATATTATATACCGGTTGATTTGGTACAACTAAATGAAAATTTTTGCATTTACAAAAAAAACGTCATAAAAGAATATTTCACTAGTAGTATTATAAACAATATTGTCAAAATTTAATGTTTGTGGATTGCTAGTATATTGATTTGTATTACCATTGTAATATTGTGGTACATTTTCAGTTTTAATCACTTGACCATTGATTATATTAACCCCAGAGCTGAAATATTCATTTACATCTGTACCCATTAAAATATTGCCTAAAGGAAAAATTCACATTTATAGATATAAATCACGTTTATAACTCAATTGTAAGATAGATTTTATTTAATGCAGATATTGCACATTAATATAAACGATATCATAGTCTATCTATTTTAACTGTTCAAAATCTAATTGACAGACATATCCGTACAAGAATTGACAGAACTAATAAAGACTATATTTCATATGATTATCAAAATCGTCTTTAAACCTTATATTCAACTACATTAATCTAAAATTTCGATAATAGTATACGCATGCATGACTATTTATTCAGGTAATAGCTTTCCTATTATATGATTATGCTTATAAATCTAAAGCGGATTTCTTCTCGATTGTACTATGTTAAAAATGAGCCTAAGGTAAAAACTAATAGTTCGAATCTGTCTTAAGTCTTTATTAACATATGAATAGATCTTTTCTTTTTTTGCAAGTAAAATTAAGATATAATGATTAATGATGATTTTCTCACATTGCTTTTCCGTCATGTTCGACAAGATATGATTAGTATACGATATCTTATTATTGATTATTGTCTGTGCATGAGGGGAAGATCAATCGCATGATGATCATCATTAGAAAAACACCATCTGGCCTTTATCGAGACAAAGCAAAGAAAAAAAATTGCATCCGATTTTTTTCTATATGGATAATAAGCCACTTTTTTTTTGTTGTTTCATATAAAAATGAGAAAAAACAAAATCTACCTGTTGTACGATTTTTAATTTGTGTATCATTATTATTATTATTTAAATCTAGTAGATTTTCATTTGTGGAATTTATTGATTCAACACATGTCATTGTATGAAATTCATCTGTATTTTCACCAAAAAAATGATCATAATCAAATGATTCGTGAAGAAGATCAGTATTATCCATTGATTTCTTTTTCTTTTTAATTATTATATTATTATTTTCTCATTCTATTAAGAAAAATAAAATCTACTTTTTATTTTTTACAAATAAATCAAATACGTACTTTGTTTGAAATATAAAAGCTTAATAATAAGAAAGCGTTGAGTTGTATGAGTGTTTCTCTAAAGAAAAGAATGAGCAAGAAATTTTGCTTTCTTTCTTTCTCTTTCTTTCTTTCTTTTTCTTCTTTCTGTACGATGACCATCGAATGAGACGTATGTCTGTATTGGTGGGGCAATGTTGTTGTCTTCGACGCCGGTCATTTTTTCCTTGTCGACGAATGATTATACAGATAGCAATGAGATGTTGGCACAATGCCATATTTGACCACCATCAAAAGCAGGAAAAAAAAATTCAATTTCCTCTAGTAATGCTACTAGAAGTTTTATTATTTTTTTTTCAGTTGAACTCTAGATGACCCCAACTTTTTCTTTTATCAAATGAAAACAAAAAAAAAAAAAAAAGAAAAAAGAAAACTAATTTCAATTCGACAATTAAGCGTCACCAGATGCAAACATTAAAGAAGTTGATTGTTTATGATGAATAGTTCCTGATGAATCTTTGTCAATTATTGTTTGTTGTTCTAAATATTCACTGATTGTTTTATATATAGTTGTTTTTTCACGATCAGTTATTTGTAAAAAAATTTCATTTCGTTCAAGATCATCTGTTGATGCATGTTTAAGAATATTTAGAATTAATGATGAAATATTTTCATCACGCGATGAATATTCATGAAGCCATGCACATAATGTACCTATGAAAAGGTATCAAATAAAGTTAAGATATGTAGTCATAGATAGAAAATCGAAATCTGTGAAAATAAACGTGTGATCTTTTCAGAGTAATTCTGCTATAGCGGTCAATTATAACTTGATTACACGTTATTATTCTGCTGAGAAATGTGTAAAGTGCGTTAGATGTTATTGTATTGTTGGACAAGGAAGTCTTATCGACAATATAAAAAGTCTAATCAGGATATGAATTGTAATTGTAGTGGAAGTAGTAGAGGATATTCGGTGTTTCATATTGTTGTCAAAATAGAAATTTTTAATTATAACCATAGGTAGTTTAGTAGAAACAACAGTTCCTTAAGTTCATAGAAAGTCAAGAGAAAAATGGCCTGTCATTATACTTCAAAAGTAAAGTATTATTCTAGGTCAATTCATTCCGACCTACAAGTTCGCTATTAAGCAGATCAGTATCGATGATTGTTTCATGTACTTGATCAGAGACGTACATTAATCATACACTTTGAAGAAATAGTAGAATGAAATCATTCATGTGATTCTATTCGGATATATATAAAGCAGACATCGAAATGATTCGACCTTTCCAGGACTGAGCAAGTACGGACTTTCTCGAGTACGAGTACTATTAGATTATGTCAGAGATGATTATGACTTCCTCAGACAGCTAACAGGAAAACTAGACTTTTAGTTGTATAACATAATATGTACATATTTCCAAAGTACACCAAAACAAACCATTATTTTTATAAATATAATTACCTAAAATTTCAAAGTTTATATTATCGAGTACTACTACGAGTACCAGTGCAAAATCCTCAAGTACGAGTACTTCGAGTATTTTGGCTAGCTCTGGATCTTTCGGTCAAGTTAAGTGTGCTCCAAATTTGGAGTTTACAGATATCGAAGTATTCGCGAAAAACTCTACCTAAAAACTATGATCATCTGTTTTTGATTGCTCGAAAAGATACTCTGGACTGCGTTGTGTCGATTAGTGATGTTCAAGAAAAAAAGCACATAGTTACAGTTACACTTTGTCGAAAAACTTAAAACTCGTAAACCTCAAATTTGGAGCTCACTTAACTTGATCGGATCTTTCGTAGTTAGAATTCATTTAAAAAATTAGTTTTGACATGTATACTGTTAAGAATAATACGCGCGTTTATAAAAAAATAATTTACTTATTTCTGATGCAATATGTTTTCGTGTTCCATCTTTATAGAGAATATGTCTTGGTACAAATTCTTTTTTTTCATCAAAAGTTGTTAATTCTAAATCATTTAACCATGTATAGACATATTTTTTACATTCATTTCGAAGTGTTTCAATTAAATATTTTTCTGATAGATGAATAAGTCCAATGACTAATAGAATATTTACAAAAAGAAGAAAAATAACAATTATTGAATAGAAATTTTACTATTTTGTTCAGTTATTTTCATTGTAAATTGTGGATAAATAAATTTTAAAAGATCATTAACATCTGTTGATGTTATTATTGATTGTTCATCATCTTCATCAATAATAAATATACTGTCAGGTTCAATAGCTAAAAAAGCTTTAATTATAGGTGATGCTTCCGATAAAATAGCTTTATTTGCATATAAAATTGTATCTATAGAAATTGAAACGAATTAAATTTATAATTTTGTTCTATACATCTTACCATTTTCATTTTTAAATGAAATTTTAACATCGGAAAATTCATTTGGTATATGAAAATAATTTTCCATGAATAGAACGTAAGACTAATGAAAATGTTATCAAATGAATTATAGTTGTTATGTTAACAAATTTAGCGCAAGTTTTTGTTCTTGTTTTTATTAACGAATAAGAAGAAGATAAAATCTCATTTAATAAAATATAGAAAGATCACATACATAGGACATTCTCAAAAAGTATAAATATATGTGTTTGCTTAATTTTATTCATTGACAAAGAAATGTGATGTTGCATTCGAAATTTAAAACAAAAAAAAGACAAGAAAAGAACAATAAACTAATCAATTAATATATATATGTATAAAAGTCTTTCGGGAATGTTTATTAATATATGATCATCTAAGTTATATTGCAATTGAAATGGACATAATAGAAACAAAAATCGATTAGAGATTTTCAACATTTTGATAAAAAGTCGCCTAAAAAATACATAGAGAATAGATTTGAGAAAAGATTCAAATAGTATTCATACAGGTATTGGAGAATATTGAGGATTTTCATCACCATCACTGTCACTACTATCAGCTGGTCGATCACGTTGATTTAGACGTGCGTCTTATAATATAAAAGAAAACGAGAATAATTTATAATAAAGATAATTAGTTTATTATTTTTACCATTGCTATCATTATTATTTAATTTAGCATAACAGGAGTCACATACTCGAACTGGTTTTGCATCCAAATGTGAAATTAAAAAGCGTTTTTTTGAGCACCCATCACAAACAACTAAACCACAATTTCGACAATGCTATTAATAGAAATAAGAATTGACATATAGGAATATTTTCAATAGCATAAAAAACATTAGGAGATTAAACTACAAAAAAATTTTCCTTTTATCATGTAGGTATGTGACAACTCAAGCTCGCCAGTTCAAACTCATATGAGCTGCAGATGGCGGCTAGCTCATTTTATTCATATATTAATCATTACATTACATACAAACGTGAATAATATCCAACTATTCACGTTTAATGATCATTTTTGACAACGAAGTTATTAATAAAAGCTTAAAGTAATTCTTTCCAAACGTTTTATGTAATATAATGATTAATATATGAATAAAATGAACTGGTCGCCATCTCCAGCTCAACTGAACAAGAACTGTTCCAATTCATTGAGCGAAACTGGAGTTGTCACATACCTATTATCATGTTCAATAAATTTCTCGTAGCTTAAGTTTAAGGATTTTCAAATCATTCAATTACTCACATGTTTACGATTATATGCTGAAAATTTCGATGTACGACAATGCATACATGTATCAGCTTTATCATCAGGTATCCAATGTGCAGCGACCGCATTATTTTGTGTATTAGCACCTCCTTAATAAATTACTATATCATAAGAACTTTAAAATAAATTTATACATACCAGAAGCATAACGAATACAACGATCAAGATGTGTAAGCCATTCTTGTCGTTCACGATCTGAATTTGCTCGGACAATAAAAGATTTTTTTGGACTACTTATTAACCATGCATATGGATTTTCTATTTAAATAAAATAGAATTTATTTCATATATGTTTGTCTATCTATATACCTGCTGAATCAATAGGAGCACCGATTTGTATTTCATTAAGTGGAATAATTTTTTGTTGTGAATACTAAATAAAATAATAATAGAATGACATCTTTTGTTAAACATAAAACTTGTTCTTTTACTCTACGTCCACTGATAACAACACGTCCGTACACGAGAATATCATTGAATAAGAAGAACGCTCTTTGTTTAGGTTTTTTTCGGCATACTTTCATTAAAATACCTTCACCAACTAAAGCTCGACCTTCTTTTTGTAAATTCTAAACAATAGAAAATAAACGATTGAATTTTTTCGATAAGATAAAAAAACAAACAAACTTGACTATTAACAAATTTATCTTGCACATTTTTAATTCTCTTCGCATTTTCTGCTGATCGACCTGAGATATAAAAAGAAAAGAAAACAAAGTTTACTTTTATCTATATAATTATACTAACTCAATTGAGCAAGTCCATCTTCTTTTAATGATGGTGATCTTCCAACACTATTAGAATTCACTGAACTCATGTCTAGAAATACAAAAGAAAAAATATGATTCATATTATTTTTTTCTAATAAATCTTTTAAATTACAACAGAATATAAGGAAAAAAAATGCGTGAAACATATAGATGTTTACGCCTACTTTAAACGAACTTATGCTCGTTCTTCCCTTTCCAAAAAAAAGGTGTACATCTTTTGGATTAGACAATTTTATTACCAATCAGAATAGAGTATAAAACCTAAATTTATGGCGCTTCAAGACAAAAATCTGATATTCATATATGATTCATATGAAAAAGATTTGTATGTATGTGCGTACTATCGTTCGTTTATTCATTTGTATTCTTTGTTTGACATAACAGACTAAACAAGACGATAGGAGATAATAAACGATCGAGGGAAAAGATCATCCAAACATATATAGAAGATATAGTTACTGTATTGGAACGAACGTCTTTGTTTAAGATATTTCCTAGTTATATGATAGTTCGATTTAGTTTCATAATTGACATTTGCATTATTGTTTCTAGAAGATATGACTCCTCAGGATACTCCAGTAGCTTCAAATGGACAAACTACACGTAAAATTGCTTTAATTACTGGTATTACTGGACAAGTAATTATTATAAATAAAATAAAATCTATTTTATTTATTTATTTCTTCTTAAGGATGGAAGTTATCTTGCTGAGTTCTTACTCGAAAAAGGGTATCAGGTATAGAGATATATCTTTATAAAAGAATTATTACATTTATACTATTGTATAGGTTCATGGTATTATTCGACGTTCAAGTAGTTTTAATACTGGTCGAATCAATCATCTTTATGCAAATCCAGAATCACACACAGAAGGAGGTTTGTTCTTTAATCATATATCAATAAATTATTTGTATTGTATATTATTAAAAATAGCTATGAAATTACATTATGGTGATTTAAATGATAGTTCATCATTAGTTAAAATAGTTGCCAGTGTTAAACCAACAGAAATCTATAATTTAGGTGCAATGAGTCATGTTAAAGTATAAATTTTATTAATTAATATTTCCATAAAATAAAATTTTTTTCTTTTCTCATAGATTTCATTTGATTTAAGTGAATATACAGCTGACGTTGATGCTGTTGGTACATTACGTCTTTTGGATGCTATTCGAACATGTGGTCTTGAAAAAGATGTACGATTTTATCAAGCATCAACATCTGAACTTTATGGTAAAGTTCAAGAAATTCCACAAAGTGAAACAACACCATTCTATCCTCGATCACCATATGGTATATCATTCATCATTTAAAAAATAATTAATAATTTTTGTTTTTTTTCAATATCGTCATAGCTGCTGCAAAATTATATGCCTATTGGATAACAATTAATTATCGTGAAGCATATAATATGTTTGCTGTTAATGGAATTCTTTTCAATCATGAATCACCACGACGAGGTGATAATTTCGTTACGAGAAAAATTACTCGCGGTGTTGCAAAAATTTTTCATCAAACACAAGAAGTACTTGAACTTGGTGCTCTAGATTCAAAACGTGATTGGGGACATGCACGTGATTATATTGAAGCTATGTGGCTTATGTTACAACATGATACACCTGAAGATTTTGTTATTGCAACTGGTTAGATAGTTTTTCTAATTGATTGATCATATTTATATCGAAATTTTTATATAGGTGAAACACATAGTGTTCGAGAATTTGTTGAAGCAGCATTCCAAGAAATAGGAAAACGAATTGTGTAAGTATTCAATGAATTAGAAAACAAATCTAAATATTTCATAATAGATGGGAAGGTGAAGGTATCAATGAAATTGGAAAAGAAAAAGGTACTGATATTACTCGTGTTGTAGTCAATCCAAAATATTTTCGACCCACTGAAGTTGTAAGTTGAAATAGAAAATTTTTGTTTTTTCTTTATTAATAATGAGTTTATTTTAAGGAACTTTTAATTGGCAATCCAAAGAAAGCTGAAGAAAAACTTAAATGGAAACCTAAAATAACATTTCAAGTATGATGATCACTAATAATTATTAATTTATTTTTTTATATATTATTTATAATAGGCATTGGTTAAAGAAATGGTTGCAGCCGATATTGAACTTATGCGAAAAAATCCAACAGCTTAGAATTATTTTAATTTTTTGTCTTTCTGTTAAGCATTCAATCTCTTCTTTTTTCAGGTTAACTATTGAATGACAACATTTTATTTTCGTATCATCTTAGTTATTTTGTGCAATTCACAGTATCGATAAAATAAACAATTATATTTACATTTCATATTTATTTCGCATAAATGTTACATTCAAAAAAAAAATAAAAATAATTTATTTGCATTCAGAAATTATATGTGCTGCTCCCTTAGAAGATTTGATATTACTTTTTTTAGTTTTATGTTTATCTTCTTGAACATCGTCTATTACTTCTGATGTTCGTCTCGGACGATCAAATGTTTTTCCTTTTATATATAATCCATTAGCTAGAGTAAGAATAAAATCTTTTTGAAATAATCGATTACGCCAACGTTTTGGAATTCCTTCAATACCATATACAGCACCAGCAAGTTGTCCATAAATAGCAGCTGTTGTATCAGTATCATCACCTAAATTAACAGCTAGAAGAACACCTTTTTCAAACGAATTTTCATCATTATAAAATGCCCATAGAGCAGCTTCAAGTGAATTTAATATAAAACCTTTACCACGTATACCATCGACATATCCATGTTTTTTCTTATATGAACCTTGAATTATCTTCATAACATCTTTATCAAAAGATAATTTGAAATTATTATAATAAAATTTTTGATTTAAAAGATTTTCTTTCGATATACCATTGATAGCATTCCAAATAAGTGCTGAATAAAATCGACATACATCAATTGCTTTCTTATCACCATGTGTCAGACTTACACTATTAGCAGCATTTTCTATTGCTTTTGATTTTGAACGATAATAAAATAAAGGTATAGGTGCTAAACGCATAAGTGGACCATTACCCGCAGCTTTAAGATCACCACATTTTGCATTGAAATTAATTTGTGAACGTTTTTCTCCAATTATTCGATCTAGATAATGTTCAGAAGTTGATATACCTAATTGTTGTGCACTTTGACGTTGACGATTTTCAAATTTTGTAATTGCTGCACGTGTAGCATTACCAATATCAAAACATGAACCAGTTGAAGACATATAACCTTTTCTATACCACCATTTATATCGTACTAATTGATCATAATCATCAAAACCACTTTTAACAATAAGACTAGCAGCTAGACAAAGTGCCATCGATGTATCATCAGTCCATTGACCGGCTTGAAGACCCCAGGTACCACCTCCTTGCATTTCTTTAACACGATTCTTTTGCATATAAGCATTTGATCGAAATTCCACTGCGGCCCCAAGAGCATCACCAACAGCAAGACCAATAAGAGAACCTTGTATTCTTGAAAGAATTGGATCATTATTACTTAATTTTGATAATTCAATATCTTGAAGTCGATTCAATTCACGATACGGTTGAGATTCATCAAGTAATTCAATAAGTGTTAGATATTTATTATGTTCAAGAACATACTTTGCTGATTTAAAATTTGGTACAACATATGATAACCAATTCATTTTAACGAATGCTTCCATATACAATTTCAATCAATATCGAAATAACAAATTATACTATCATCATAAGTAATATTTTTACCTTTCGTCGCAATATTTTACCTATAAACATATTTCCTCGAAGAAAAAAAACAACATGTTACCGACAAGTCTATCATTAGTTCTTATATTGATTGAAATGAAGCATTTATATGTCAACAACTTATTTATAGAATAACAAGTTTCATTTATTAATTAAATGTGGTTATTAAACTATTTGAGTTAGTATCATTCGTAAACATATCAAATACGTGTTACAATGATAAGATTGAGACATCAAAAAAGAAGAATGTAACAGCTGTATATGTCATTTAAATATGTGATAATCGACCGATTTCCATCGCGACTCGTACGATCATTATTTACTTTATCTAATGTTTTCAATGAACAATCACGTACTATTCCAATATCTTCTACTTTACCAATCATTAATTGCATAAAGTTCCATCACTTGCAATATGATCTACAGAATTATACGATGTGATTAATTGTAGAATCCGATGAATCTCAAATGGCACCATTATCAGAAATAGTATCCGATATAATGAAATAAATGTTAAATTTGGACAAAACGTCATCGCTAATAAAATCTTCTATGACAATATTTATTATATAATAACAAGTAAGGAATTGAACATTTACGCAAAAGTTTCTTTCGTGACTTATTTAGTTGAAACATCTTCATATATAAACTATATCGTCCATATCAGAACAATCGTTTTTAAACGAATAATATCTGATTTTTAGTAATTAATCATCTTCATGCAATATTCTCAATTACGATTAATTTGAACTTTTATTTAAAAAGTACGTATATGAATATTTTATTTACTGATGTTATCGTTTAATTACAAGAAATTAGATGTTACAATAATATTTTTGTTTTTATTACATATGGCATTTATTTTGAAGAAAAAAAAATATATGAGTACTTCGGTATATTGAAAATTATATGATAATGACTAGAAATAATTAATTATAAAATTATTAATATTGCAAAATATGTATATATTATTTTTCTATCTATTTATCAGCATCAAATTACTTTTTTTTTCTTAATTTATTTAAAAACAAAGAAAATAAACATTAATCAATTGATTATTATTATTATTATTATCAAGTCTACACAAGTATTATTTTATAAAATATACTCTCGTTTTCAATCTATTAAAAACAAGTGAACCAATTATTTCTTCTATGTTCCTTTTTTTCGTCAAACTGTTAACCTATTGGATCAAAAATGACTATGGTCATGTATGTAAATGTCTTCTTTTTCTTCTTATTCCTGCGTCCATATGAACGAACAAACGATCGGTCGCCCATTTTTGTCCGTCCATACATCCATGATAGGCCATATGTTTTTATACGTTGTCTCGATGTCGATAGTTTGACTGGCACATTCTTTTCTTTTCTTTTTTTTCTTCTTCTTCTTCTTCTCTTTAGAGTAACTCCAACATTGACAGATATGCTGTAGAAAATTAACTCGATCTTCGTTAAATATTCCGATATCTAGACTATTAGAACAATGGTCAGTTCATTATTTTTCTATTTGATAAAAAAAAGAATTTCGACTTTTTTTACATAGATTTCAATGACACATACTATGAGTAAAAATAAACAACAACATTATTATACAAATAATATCGGAGCACCATCATATTCATCATCAAGTACATCATCATCATCAACTTCATCAACAGCAGTTACTTCAACAAATAATGAAAATGAACCTGGAGGTAAAAGATAAAATTCTTATTCGAAAATATATCACAATGAAGTTTTTTTTTTGTCTTTAGATTTTCTTATCGGTTATGGCGCATTTGGAGTTATATGGGCAGTTACAGATCCTCGAACAAGTCGACGTGTTGCATTAAAAAAAATGCCGAATGTATTTCAATCAGTTATAGCTGCTCGACGAGCATTTAGAGAAATAAAAATGCTTTGTACATTTCGACATGATAATGTAAAATATAATATTAATCTTTTGAATTCAAAAAAAAAATATTTTATTCTAGATTCTTCAAGCTGTTGATATTCTTCAGCCACCTAGTCAGATAGAATTATTTAAAGAAGTGTATGTTTATACAAAATAATATATATAAATAAAACGACAATTTTTCTTTATTTTAGGCATATTTTAACAGAATTAATGCAAATTGATTTACATAAAATCATTGTTTCACAACAAGCATTATCAATAGATCATTGTAAAGTTTTTCTTTATCAAATTCTTCGAGGTAGAAAAATATTGTTTGTATTTATTAGATATTTGAAAAGTTTTTTATCATTTTAGGATTAAAATTTCTTCATTCAGCTGGTGTTCTTCATCGAGATTTGAAACCTGGAAATCTTTTAGTTAATAGTGATTGTTTATTAAAGGTAAGTTTAATAATCTTATTCAATGTAATATTTAACCTTTCTTCTGTTTTTTAGATTTGTGATTTTGGTTTAGCACGAACAGAAGAATTAGATAGGACTAAACGTATGACACAAGAAGTAGTAACACAATATTATCGTGCACCAGAATTATTACTTGGTGCTCAACATTATTCATATGCAATCGATGTTTGGAGTGTTGGTTGTATTTTTGCAGAATTACTAGGGAGAAGGATTTTATTTCAAGCATCATCACCTCTTAAACAGGTATACTTTTAAACTATAAAAAGAACTTAACACAGGGAATTGAATTGATTCTTGAAATGTATCATCATTGTTTGCCTTTTGGTTTCAATGATTTTTTTCTTCTCTTGCGGAATAAGATAATGCCATGATTTCATTCTTTTTTATACGTGCATTATTTTATCTGTGCACACGAAATATTTAACCTTTGGCCACGTGAAATAAATGAGTACAAAAACTATCGAAATATTAACAAATGATTTCATAGTACTATCAATTATACAATTTCTCTTTTGTTTTTAGCTTGATTTAATCGTTAATTTACTTGGTACTCCACCATTAGATGAAATAGCGTCAGCATGTGATGGTGCTAAATCTTATATCCTATCGAAAACTTGGCGTGCTCCTAAAGTAAACACTCTTTATTCTCTTTCGAAAAATGTTACACATGAAGCTGTACAATTTCTATTAAAAATGTTAACATGGGATCCAAAAAAACGGATTACTATAAATCAAGCATTAGGTAAAAATTTTAAAAAACTATAATGAATGAATTTTAAATAAGAATTATTTATGTTTAGAAAATAATTATATTCATGAAGGACGTATACGTTATCATTCATGTATGTGCCATTGTTGTTTTTCAACACCTACTGGAAGACAATATACAATGAATCTTGAACCTGTTCGAGGTTTTCGTTATGATGATTCAGATGAAAATTTTTCTAGTTTACGTCAAGCTAAAGGTATATATATATATTTGGATAAATAACATGATTTGTATTTCATTGTTTTTAGAATATATGCATAAATTATTAACAGAATTTAGTCAAGCAAATACTGTACCACTAAGGCTTAATCATGATTCGCCATTATATAAAACATTTGCCACGTAAGAATTCATTTTCTCATTAGAAAAATCCTCATATTTTTATTTTAGATCACAAGTAGCTCAAGCACATGAATTACCGCCATCACCTGTTGCTTGGGATAAGCTTTGATAATCTTTACAATTGTTTTTGTTTTCTTCATTGGTTTTTTTTTGTCTATCTCATGTTTGAGATACGTGTTGTATTTTTTTCTTCTTGAGTATATCTGTCTTATACTTAATTCTATTCATTTTGTGTATATCTATATAACTATTTGTATGTTCTTCTTTGTGCATGACTTTCTGTTTCATCTTCAAATTCAGGTGCTGAAATCAAAATAGCAACCGGTTTTGTATGTATATTGCTCAAAACTTATCTTCATTTCTGTTGTTGTTGTTGTTTTTTTTTCATACTATATACACACACACACATCGTCGTTTTTTTGACATATTGTGAAATTTTATTTGTACGTCAGATGGACGTGATAATATCAAATGTTAGATTAGCATTATTATTTCTTATTGTTGTCCAAAGTTTATGTCTATCATTATTTATTCATTCTTCTTCTTCTTCGTTTTTTTTTCTTGTTTTTGTACTTAAGAGAATATTGAAAGTTAAGCCACACTAAATACTTACCAGGTGATTCATCTTATTTAACAGCACTTGTTAAAAAATAAAGTCAAAATTATTATGAAAAAAATATATAAATTTTATTCTTGATGAATCTTCTCACTCCTTTGTATGTTTATATTAAACATCGATCTAAATAAAAGTAAAATTTTACAATATGTAGTTATTAACTAGAGTAATAGTTGTGCATGAATGTGAATTTTCAATAATTGGTACCGATTATTGATCAATAACCTTGACTAGTCGACTATGGAATAGATGAAGAAACGGAAAAATCAATTATAAAAAATATGAATGACATTGTAGAGTCAAGATCAATAGAAACGTTACATGTCCATATAGTTAAAAGTGGAATGTAAACATATTTGATCGATCTATCATTAAATTGGACCAATTGCTGTTTATTGGTTCTATCGATAGATATAACTAGCAAACTTTGGATCTATGTTTTCAGACATTCAGTCGAGTTTAAATTCAATTTTTCTCATATTCAGAATAAAACTACAAATCTGAGATTTAGAGTCGACAAAATATCAATCTCGCACTATCGTTTTCGTAAAATCATAAGAAAATACCTAAGCAAATAATTTTTATAAACTTTATTCTTGTTTGTTTGATTGTACAGTTGATTATTATTTTTTAGATTGTGAATAGAAATTTTTCATTACTGGTCCTGTCTAAATAGATAAAACAAAAAATTGAGTTAGTTAATAATATCTCTTTATTACATACTAGAATAGTTTGAACATCAGCTGTCAAACGTTTGATTTCATTACGTTTAAAGGATTCCATTGAACGTTGTCGTTGATTGATAGCAGACCTATAAAAGATTAATAATAAGTAAAAACTATATTATTTTGGTTTACATAATAATCGGTCCGGTTTTACATCTTTGCTGAGAATCAAGAGCAGATTTCGTTCGTTTCATTAGCCATGAAGGATTTGTTTGTAAACATAATTTACCACTTGGATCAAAACGACTTTCACGTAAACGTTGATATAAACAAATTTGTCTAAAAGGAAAAGAAATATTTTATATTGATAAAATAAGAATTGAACAACATTTACACATCTCTTTTAAGTTCATTAATAATACGTGGATGTGTTATTTTATCAGTTGATTTTTCTAGTGATAAATTTCGATTTAACTTGGATTTAGATCGACGTTTTCGCATCTTTGTTAACTTGGTCTTCTCTTTGTCTTCAATATCTGCCAACATTTTAACATTAACTCAATTCACAATTTCATCGACATTACTTGGAAGTTTTTTTTTCATTTGATGGATTTCAAAAAAAAATGCTTCTCTTCTTCTGTGAAAATATTTGCATACTTGAATAAATAAATAGTCTGCACAATGTGTTGAATAAGATTGTTAAGGTCATACAAGATTTTTTTTCTTCTAATGAATCACGTTGGAAGACCGAGAGTCTTCTATTATGTCTCGAAATAAGGTAAAAATCTTGATTTCAACCTTTTTTTATCCCATACATCGTTAGTTAGAAGAGTGTTCTTGAAACAATATAGACAATGTATGCTAAAATTTAGGTGTGATTTCTAACAGCACAATTTTTTTTCTAAAGAATACAATATATTGCTGATGATATTTGTATCCTATATAACCACATACTTGAAATTGAGTCAAAATGAAATAAACTGCCAGCTTAACTATTAGTTTCTAGTTAATTTTAATGAATATGGTTGTCTATGAAAAACAAATGTACGAAGAAAGAGCGATTCAATACACGTTGAGAGTGAGTTCTGAATCTTTCGTGTTTATTTGAAAAAGCACTTTGGTATCTCAAATATATGAGGAATATTTTACAAAATACATCTTATTGCGTGTTCTCAAAGATATATATTTTTCCATAATAAGAAGGTGTCATTATTTCTATTAAACCACGCTGCAAAGAAGCATTAAAGTAACCTCGAGACACCTTTCAAAATGGAAGATATTTCTTTTATTAACTGCTCTTTTCTACCAGCTTTTTCTCAGGACTGACACATTGTTTAGATGACGGAAGCAAAATATTGTCTATAATAAAAAACAACTTAGATATTAGCATGTACATAATTGTTAGAGAAATAAAAGTTTTAGAAATTATTTCAAAAAATCCATTTTCATATGGGGTTTTCTAATGTGTCGAAGCTTTTTCATTTAGAGATTAGAATTAAGATTTTGTATACAACTTTCTTGTTACATTCATTGTTAAAAACAAATAAAACGATTTATTGATTTCTTTCATCATCTAATGAATTGTTCCATCAAATTAAAACCATTCCTCACAACTGATTATTGATAAAAACTAGGCTTTTTTTACACATCCTTGCCTGTATTTTTAACAATATATTTTTGTAGGATTTATCATAAACAAGTCTATGATAGCACCATGTATTCCCTTTTGATTTTCTTATATCTCTTTTTATCAAATTCAAAAATATTGTCAATATGCAAAAAACCAAATGATTGAGATTTTGTCATTTAACTAAAATTTTTATTTGAACAAAGTAATCAACTAAAAATTTTAGTGATCTTTCCATTTAATCTTTTGAATGAACATATCACTCTTGTTTTTATTTACATAAACCTGAATACTTAACAAAAGAGTTATATATTTTATGATTTTCTTTTTTTCTTTTTTTCATGTTTATCACTTGATTTTTCTTCTTGTTTCTCAGTTTTTTCTTCTTCTTTTTCAATATTTTCTACTACAACATGATCCATTGATGCTCCAACTTCTGTTTTTGCTGGTACAAATGCTAATTTTGTTGATTGATGTTTCCAATCAGTTGAACTTGATGCACCACTATTTTTAAAACTACCATCATGAAATCCAAGTCCTTCATGATGTGCATGCGTAATTTTTGCTTGTAGACTTTCATTAAATTGCCTTTCTAATTCACGATTAATTGTTTCAGTTTCAACTTCTAAAATAAAACATTTATATCATTTTTCTGATATTAAATTCGAATATTTAAACGTACTTGAGCGACAATGTTTCTTTTCCGGAGATACATCTTCATCCGGATTACTGTCACGTGATTCTTGTCTCTCCATTTCAGATTCATCTTTACGTTTCTATAAAAAAAAAAGAAATGAATATCAGAGAATAAGTTTTCTTAAATTACCTTTGCACCCATTAGACGAAGAAACTTTTGTTTTCGTTGAGAATCACCAAGATCAGCACTTTCCCAATTATTAGCCGTATGGACCTGAATAAGAAAAGAGTTATAATTTGAAATAATGTTAAAAGTTAAAAAAGGCTTTTTTCAAATACCTCTTCTACTGGAATTTCATCCGTATTCTCGTCATCTTGATGACTTTTTTTAGAAGATTTCGAAGACGATTTCTTTTTACTTTCAGCTGTCGACATATTGGTTAAAATGATCAATTTCGAATGTCCATTTTGCTTCTCCAATAGTTTTTATAGAATATTTTAAGACCAACGAGAGTTAATTATTTGAAGATGTCGCTTGTAAACGAATCATTTTATAAACTCAAAGTACGGACGTGAGTCTAGTTCACAAGCTCAGAAAAATAGTATCCACATAATGATTACCAGATTTACAACAATGAGATTCACTATTAGATAAAAATTTATTAATTCCTTTATTAACACGCAATAAAATATGAAAAATAAAGTTTTCTTCTACACTTTCAATCTCTTGAATATATATAATTGATTTTACAATCGTGAACATATGTCAGATTGAGAATCAAAAGCATTGTTAAAATTTCCATTAAATATACGTGATTTATCATCTAATTTATTTCTATGTTCAATAGGTTCCGTTGTTTTTGGAGTTAGGACTTCATATCGACCATGTCGATCTTCTTTTCTTGCTGGTCCCCATTCATCCTGTGGTTGACTTGCATATGTTAACATCCGTAAATAATGTGGCATATCATTTGAAATCTTAATTAAAAATTTCATTAATAAAAAATAACATATTCAATAATTCTTTTACTTCATTTTGATAGTTTCTTGTTGCTTTCCATGCTTTAATAAATTCATAAATCATAACAGCAGGAATAAATATAACCGATGCAACAACCATAAGCCATCCGATAACATTTGCATATGTTAAATAAGCATAATTTCCTTCAGTTGGTGGTCTAAATTGCATAAGTGATGAAAAGAAGACAACCTAAAGAAAATTTCATTATAGAATTATTAAAAAAACGTTAAATTCTTTTATATACAAGTGTAATAATTGGACCTGATATACACCATGTAAAAAACCAATAAGGTTCAAATGGTCTTCTACCTAACATCATTCGAATATCTTCCATAAAATTATTAAAACCTATATAAAACTAGAATTTTATTGTGATAAATTTTCTTCTTATACTCAACCATAGACATAAGAAATAATAATAAATTCGAAGAATGCACAAACAATGACTGATAAATTCGCTGAATATTCATTCATTAATGTCTAAAGAAATTTATTTGATATTTCATTTGAATCCTATTTTATACATACAAATAAATAAATTCCACCCTAGAAAGAAAAATAGATATCAATAGAAATTTGTATTTTTTTATATTTTACGGGTGCACATATTGGAAGTGCTACTAGAAAGCAAACACTACAATATCCAATAATAACATATGTTTTATAACGTCGAAGACCAGGAAATGTATCCAATAATCCAGATATTGTTACATCCGAAAGTGCAAACTAAATATTTGGAATAAAGAAATTTTTTTATTTTGTGGTTAAAAAATACCTGAGAATCGAGTCCAAGTGTAAGTAACATAAAAAAGAATATTACTGCCCAGAAAGGTCCGCCTGGCATAATTGATAACGCTTGTGGATAAGCAATAAAAGCTAAACCTGGTCCAGCTTTAGCTACTTGATCAATAGGTAAACCAGTTTTATATGACATAAAACCAAGAATTGAAAAAATAGCAAATCCCGCAAATACCTATTTATTATTTCAAATCAATAAATTTATCATTCTTCTATAACTTACCGAAGTAAAACAATCGCATCCAGTGACAATCATACAATCTCTAAAGATAAAATGAATGTTGCATTTTTTTCCGAAAAAAATATTAGTATTAAACCTAAGATAATTTGATTTGAATTTATTAAAACTGGCATAACCAAGTATGGAACCAAATGCTACTGACAGAGAGAAAGTTACTTGTGATGCAGCGGCAATCCAAACCTTAAGAAAAATAAATAAAAGTTATTAAAATAATAATAAATCATCTACCTGAAATTCTCCAATTTTACTCCAATTTGGTTTTAGATAAAACGATATTCCTCTTGCTGCACCTATTTAATAATAAAAATTAGAATATTTTCTATCAAGAATAATCAATCTATTAACCTGGTAAAGTTACACCACGTATAATCAATGCAAAAATGACAATATAAGGAAATAATGACGTAAAATAAACGACCTTGCCAGATGATTTAATTCCTTGAATAATACAAGCAGCAACAAGTATCCATGCTAATAAGAAACATAATGTAAGGGCCCAATGTGGAGTACCCATATCTTCCAACGAATTACTTCGTCGTAAGACATAATGACTATTACAAAATATATGTTTATTTGAATAAAGAAATTAATATTTTACTCGAAATATTCTTCAGGTGGAAGTATCGGTAATGTACAATTACTTGATCGATCAGTTGCAAGACAAAGAAAACGAGCTGTTGAATTATCCGATGCATCTTACATATAGATATAAATATGATATTTGAAAAATGATCTTTCTTTTTTATAGAAACCTGCATTTAAACAGCGTTCTGTATTCCACCAATTTCCACAATCACTCCATTGAAGTTTTTTTCGAAATGAAGCAAAAAAATAAAATAAACACCACGCAATAATTATATTATAATAAATTGTAACAAAAAAGGAATTAATTGCCATTGCCCAACCAACTCCTAATATATCATCTTTTCATCAATTTCTATATTATTAAATATATTTCAAACCTTTAAACATTCGTGACATTTTGAAAGCAGCTGTTGCACCACGACTAGTAAACTGTCCAAGAGATAATTCAAGAAAAAAAAGTGGTGTTCCAATAAGAAAATAGACACAAAAATATGGTATAAGAAAAGCACCTATATCAATAATATTTTTTTATAATAAACAAGATTGTGTTTTATAGATTCTTACCACCACCATTTCTGAATGCTAAAAAAAAAGAAAAATATCAATCGTTACTATTTAGAATAATTACATACCTATGTAAGGATATCTCCATACATTTCCAAGACCTAAAAGAATGAAAATTAAGATTTAATTAAATATGATTATTATTACATGCCTACAGAACAACCAATTAATGAAAGTATAAATTCAATCGGTCGATCCCATTCTTCTCTTTGTTCTTCTCCATTAGTTGTATCTTCTTCCTAAATAATTCATCTCTATAGATATGAACGAGTAGACAAAAAAAGGGTTATTTAAAAGTACTTGAAGTGCTTTTTGTGGTGTTGGTTTTGATGAAACAATCGTACGTAAACGATCTAACATTGTCAAAACTAGAGAAATGCCAATAAATTTATTTCTTTTATATATCAAATAACGTTAGTCTTATCTCTTCTATTTTTCTTCTCATTAATATTATAGTTAAATGGCACGTATATCTGTAATAGTGATATTTTAATCAAAAAAAAAACATATCAAGGTTATCTAGAATTAAAATATTTTTGTATAATATTTAACTGATCGTAAAAGTTTTAGAATAAGATCGTGTTGTATAGCATATCTTTTTTTTCTTTTGCAAAAAGAAGATCAAGTTTTGATTAAACACTGTATGATTAGAAAATTGATTTATTGAAGAGACCACATCATAACCTTTTGCCAGATAAAAATAAACAAAATAACTTAATTTTCTATATGTTATTCATAACTTCTACTACTATTACCAATTAATGTATAGAAAAGTATAAACTTCGATAGAACTAAAACGGAAATGAAAGCATATTAGAATAAATGAGTTTTCTTATTTTAACATATTAAGATTAAACATGTATTCAATCATATTTAGTAATTAATATACATAACAAAGGTTTTGATGTAATCTCACAACATAGGGAGTGGGCTGCAGTATGATCAAGATCGAATCTATCAAAAACTATTTCTTCATCAAATTGATGTTACTGATAAAAAAATATTAATTGAGAAATTTGAATTATCAAGTGAAAGACGAAAATATAAAGAATTAATCATTGATGATTTTTGTTTACTTTTACTTCATGATGAATTTTGTTTCCCTGTGTGAAAGAAAGGGGTATACAGCGTTTCAATCTACGGCTTCAAATACATAAAGTTTGTTTCTCTAAGTAAATGGGAATTTTGAGGGTGGATGTGAGTGGATGTGGGTGTGGCTAAATATCTATATCCACAACCCACACCCGACATCATATTTATTGTGTATCACATATAATGACACTTCTAAACTACATAATCAATTAGATATATACGTCTATAATGATTATGTCTTATCTTTTCATTGTTCATCTTACTGATGACACTATATATATATACTAATTTCATTTCATTCGATTGAGTTGCGTTGAGAAGTGTTTTCTATTCATATTAATATACTGATCTGTTCCACAGTATGTTAATATCTATAGAAATCATTTCTTTATTCAATACACACGAATTATTCTTTTTATTGGAACAGAAAGAATAGTTCATCGTACTGAATAAATTCAGTTCTTTTTCTCTCTTCGTTACCTGAAACCGCCTGTTGGATGATCGTCCTTTTTCTTACCTAACACACAAAAACTCTACCATGTTGGGACGCAATAGTTATATATCGTGAAGATCTTTCTCTACAAAACATGTCTATTGATATGTATTGTTTACCTTACCGATGGGTATTACCACCCATTTGTGTCTCAATAAGATTAGAGTTTCTCTGTACGCGCGTACATTTAAAACAATTCATTTCTTGTTTAAAAAGTTTATTTTACTTCACAAAACCAAAACTCATAGCAATACAATTTATTATTTGTTTTTTACGTTTTTAAGATTATTTCTAAATAACTCAATATCAGGATGACTTGAAGGTAATGATTGTTCTCCAATTTGTATAGCATGTTCATAAAATGTACGAGCTTTTGAATCGTTACCCATGTTTTCATATACCAGACCAATGTTGTAGTAGGAAGAAGCCAAATCAGGATGATTGAGAGGAAGTGATTCTTGTTGAATTTCAAGGGCTTTTTCATGAGATAAAAGTGCTTTGGGATAATTACCTATATTGTAATACACTAAACTAATGTCGTTGTAGGAAGAAGCCAAGTCAGGATGGTTAGAAGGAAGAGTTTTTTGATGGATAGCAAGCGATTTTTCATAGAATGTAAGTGCTTCTTCATATTTTCCTTGATCATCTTTGATCGAACCAAGTAGGTGATAAACAAATGCCTTTTCTTCATCATCGTTTGTCTGATCAAGTAAAACTTGATAAATATCTTCAGCTTTGTCAAATTAACCCATTTTCTGTAGTACCGAACCCAATCGGTACCATCCTTCTGCACCTGGAAAAGTTTCTTGTCGAATGTAATCAGTAAGTCTGCTTAATTCTGGATCGTTATCAGCAGTAAGTGTCAAATTGACGTCATATAAACGATTATTTCCACCCATTTGTTTGATATCCTGTACACAAAAACACTATGCATCGAGAATAAGACTTCCTCTTCCTTCTCGAAGTCACTAATACTAGTAATGGAAGCAAATGGTGTTGTCGATTGGGCAGGATAAATTTTTATAATAAACAGGACACCTACTTGATCTGGATTTGTCATCGCACCTTGAGCAAAACCAAGTGATATGTTACGATCTTTACTAGTTGATAAGAAGTTATTGAATGAAATGAGACCACCTTTGGTTTTCATCATTTTTTCAAAATCCCCTGTCGATAATCCTTGACCACGATAAACGGTGAAGGTATCAGCAACAGGTGTACCAACATATTGCTCCTGGTGCAGTTGTTTGATGTGTCGATGCAAATCACCGATGAAGAAGCCCATACGTGTAATGATATCTCCATCCATCAATCGTAATGCACGATTAAGCATGGGATACAAAAACATATCACAGGTGTACCAATAAATGGGTGTTTTGTTATGATATTCATCTTCTAATTGTCTAATATTCTTGATTTCTTTTTTGTTACCTCTAAACGCATCACGACAATAATCGATATAATCTTGTATGTGGTTTTGACCGAATTTGATGGTTAATATAATTTCTTTGATGATTTGAGTGTACATAAAAGAAGGATCTAATTGATCCAACTTTTTATTTGTTCCCACGAAACTCATGGAAATAGCATTTTGCTCACATTGATGAGCAGCTTCCTTGAGTGCTTCACAGATGGGTGTAATATCTGTGAAAACACCCTTTATTTTGGGCCAATCTTTGGCCCATTGTTCATGATGTTTTGCGCTGCTACAAAAAATGAAAACTGAATCCACCTGAGACAAATTGTGCACGCGAGGTACAATATGTTGCCCAAGTGATCCAGATATAATCAGACATATTTTGTTATCGACAACTGTTTGAATGAATTCAAGGCATTGATCAACATTTGTGTATGTCTTAATGTCGTTAACAGCATATCGTAATTTTGTGATTGTATTTTGACAATCATCATTTGTTTCATCAATATTACTGTCTAACCAGACTAGAAGAACGTTTTGTACCTGTTGAATATTGATACGTCGACGAGCTTCTGCATCTTTTGGAAGTGTAGACGCATCTGTTGCTGGTTTTTCTTTGTTCATTGTTTACTATGCGAATGATTTGAACTGGAGTTACTGTGTAAAATTTACTAGTGGAGTAATGAGCAAAAACGCTTCTCTTCATAGATGTCTGCTTCCTTGCGAACCGTTGTTCTTTTCTCTAACTGGTTTTTGATGTTGCCATGAAAAGCAAAAGATGAAGAACGACAAAAATGAAATAATGAGATATTGTTATATGGTTGGCAAACATCGAGCTATTCCCGGAAAAAGAATCAGTTTCTTTTTTTTTCGGAGAAAAAACGTGTGAGTCATGTTTGTTATTTGATAATTGCTAGAGAGAAAAAAGTTTTTTTTTTAATATGATTACATATTTGATGAATCACAGAAGTTGATAACATGTTTGTGGATGATAGAGATTTGTGTTTTAAAAAACTTTATTCATCACCTTTTGAACGAAAAAGAAAAATTTGATCATGCATCATTTTCCATCTTTCATTAACCTTTTCGAGGCTACGTGAACCACCGATGGCTCATACTAGGGTGTGGGTAAGAGATCGTTACCCTTTCAACCACACCCACACACGACAAAATCTTTCAAGATGATTTATTTCTTTTCCAAATTTTTATTTTCCCGATTACTTGACATATTCGAAATGATCAATACAAAAAATGTTTTTATATTTAGAATAATTTTTAAATGTTTTTGCAATAGATTCATTTAATGGGAAATTGGTTTGATTACGACGTTTAGTAGTTGTGTAAATATTAAATGTGAATTTATGTAATCGTGCCATATGAATCATAATATCTTTCTCTAATATATCACCATCAATACCTTTTTCATAACACAGAACGTTTAGATTCAAATCAAGTTCATCTAAATTTATCATTCGACGTAGAAATGGCGCAACTGATTCGTTGAATCTATCTATACATGTCACACAAAAGCAACACAAAGAAAAAATCCGTAAATTTGGTAAAAGGTTTTCCTAAAAACAAAAACAAATGAGCTCATTTAAACAAACAAAATATAATAAAAATATTCTACGTTCAATTCTTTGTAGGTATGGTAAAACCCAATAGTATCAATGTTAACACGAAGTATACGAAGTTGATCAAAACGTCCATCAAGTATATGATTACAATCTTTTATATCAAAGACATTGATATGTAATTCTAATAAAGTTGGAGAGATAGCAGTTTCAAGTGTCATACTAAGAAATAAAGTGCCACTAATAGGTAAATATGGATTGAATTTTAAACATTGTAGATTAGTAAATATTGTTAAGATTTTTGCAAATATATACGAATAGCTGGTGTTGTTTACAAACGAGTTGTTTTTTTTATTAAAACTGATAAAGAGCGATGAAATTTGATTGTTAAATAAATGAATTGCAGAATTTGTATCTAAATGAAGTTTTAAAGTTAACAATACAAATATTTCGCATATGTATTTCGATTGAGTCGATTAAGCTATTTAAGATGAATATTTTCATTCTTATATATATATATGATGAATGTTGTGTTCTATCTCACTTTTTTATATTATTGGTGTTTCTCTATATTAGTCTTGAAAAATGATTTTGTATAATTAAATAAATAATATTTAATTCTATTAATATGTTTAAAATAAATTATTTTGTTTTTTCAATAACTAATTGGAATTTTACAAAGAAAAGCTCTTACCAGAAGAGAGAAACATAACTAGTTTGTCGTCGTCTATATCACATAAACCAAGGCTATTTAAATTTGGATAGTTTGTAGCACGAAGTACACGTTCTATTGATGTTCTTTCAAGATAGAGAGTTTCAATTTGATGTCCAATTTCAGGCAAAATTTTTGAACAAAATCGATCAAGTATTGGACCTGATAATGGAATCGAAGAATCGTCGATTCGACAATATTCTAATAAACATAAATGATGAGTAAAAATTCTATCACGTGCAATTCTATTGATTCGTTGATTAACATCCATTAAATAATAAAGTACTTCAAAATTGCACAATTTTTTAAATATAGACATAAGAGTTTCATCCGGTAAATCATCTAACTGAACCAAGAAATCTTTCATATTTATTTGTCTACGCAATACGCACTCTTATAAGATTATATATGCTATATTCATTGATTTTAATTGACCGATATCGTCGTCAATGAAAACAATGGTATTCTTTCTCTCTCTCTTTATTATTATTGAGTAACCTTTAAACGATATAATATAGGAAATTTGGTTTGTTTCCACAGAAAATACAAGATATTGTTAAGCGATTCTTATAAACATTATTTCTAATAGAGATATTGATAATCAAAAGATGAATATGGAAACCGATGCATTTGAAATGATTTGACTCAAATGAAAATACAACTAAAACCATAACTATGACATGTTTGTTATTATCTTCTAGATGAAAAAAAATATTGTGTGTAAGTGACATCTAGATAGAGATTATCCTAATAGTGGTAAAGTAATTTATGAAGTGAAACGATGAAGAAGACGGAATGAACGAAATTTCCCGAATCTGAATCTAAAAATTGTAAATCGGTACTGTTAATGATGAAGACGTTCGTATACTAATCATTCTTTTCCTTCATATGCTATTATTTCCCTAACCAACAAACATATCGATAAATGTTTCTTTCAGATCATATTGAATTTTTCTAATAACAAAATGAATCAAATCAAACGAGAATTACGTTTTAATCGATTTTATTATAAAACTATAACATTCGCGCGAGATAAGGTGGATACTGATGTACAAACGTAAGTTAGACTAAACGAGATTATATTATTATTTATATATATAAAGTATCATTTAGTACTTCGATTGAAAATTTATCAAATGAAATGTTCTACGAAATATTCGATTATCTTGATGGTTGTGACGTCTATCATGCATTTTTAAATCTTAATCAACGTTTTCAACAACTTGTTAAATCTTCATCTTATCTACTTAAAATTAAATTTCATTTCAGACTGTCAAAAAAACAACATATGAATAAATGGAAACAATTTATACTTTTAAATAAACCACAAATATTTTCGATTTATGTGTGTCTTCCATTTCGTATGAATCAACTTTGTACAGAGTTTACTATCAACTCAACATTTTCTCGTCTCGAATCACTTGTTCTTCAGAAAATTCATTCAGACCAAATTATATCACTTCTTATCGAGTTACCTTGTCTACCACGTCTTTTTTCATTAACTATCGACTTATCGGATCATTTAGAAGATCTAACGAATATTTATCGAATCGTTTTCACATTACCATTGTTAAAATATTTTAAATTCACAAAACGTTGCGGAGATACATCGACTTCATTGTCACCGCCTATTCATAAACAATTTAGTACTATTGAATATATGGATATATATCATTTTTGTACTTTCGAACAGCTTTAGAATATCATATCTTATACACCCCAACTTCATCGATTGAATCTTTTACATACATACGAAATTGATCCGAGTTATGAAATCATATTACCTCTAACATTATCAAATTTGACATATTTACGTATATGTATTTCTTCTTTATACTTTGATGAATTTAAAATATTTATTAGAAGAATAGATTCCAAATTAAAAGTTTTATGTGTTACTATTACTATGAATTGTGCAGATAGTTCTTATCGTGATGGTGATCAATGGGAAGAATTAATTATAAAATATTTACCTCACTTGGAAAAGTTTTCCTTAGAGTTATATGAAGATACGGATGATTATTATTCACCTCCTGTATACATAAAAGAACCAGTTCAATTCAATTCACCATTTTGGATCGAGCGACAAATGAGAGTTAACATTACAATCGATTATGAATTTAACAACTATTCAATCCAACCATTGAAGTATGTCAATAAAAAAAGCGATCTTATATTACATTAACCATCTTATTATTTCTAGGAAACGATGGTATGAAGATACACAAGATAAAATTATTAATTCTTCTACCGGACATTCTCAATCTAATCGCTTAATTCTCCATGATATTCCTTATAACAAATCTTATGAAGTACTAATCGATAAAATCTATCATGTTTTATTTATTTCACAAATTTATCATGTTGAAATTCCCTATGATAAGATTTTTATTGGTTTATTAATTCAAATACTTGGTGCATTACCTCAACTCATATCACTAAAACTTCATTCTTTATCAATAAATAAACCAAGAAAATTATCTTCAAAAGAAATTGATATTCTTTCTTCGATAAAAAATACAAGTCAAATTAAATATGTTTATCTGAGGAAGATGATTAAAATTGAAGATATTGATTTCCTTATGAGACTTTGTCCTTCGATGGTATATCTTAAAATAGATTATGCAAATAAGATCAATGTTGAAATTTTTGTACGAAATATTTTGGAGAAAATTGATTGTGAATTGACTGAACCTCTTCATTTATTGTGTTTTCATATTCCAACAGTTGATGATGAAATGGTAAAAAAATTCGAGAACGTGATTAATTCGGAAAAATGACTTGTTAATTACACAATTGAACGAGACTATGAACATATTTATTTACAATGGAAATGAGTTTTTAGTTTATTTTTTAGTAAAATTGGTTTAACATGAATAAATTATAAATAAAATATCTTTTTTCCAACTAAATTTCGCGAATTTTCCGTATAGCTATTTGTAAACTATACCAACCGAAAAAAATATTCATGAGTTTTTTTGATAGGATCCAAATTCTCGTTGTCAATTATGACACAGCAGTTCTTCTCTGTTTTACTAATCTATCGATATTTGTCGAATCAAACTTCTAAATAACAAATTTCCAATGACATATTCAAGTAACATCAAATCGTATATTATTAAGGATAAGAAGTGAAATGCAATGAATAACTGTTGATGAAATTAGAGTTTCTACTTTAGCGAGCTAATGTTTGCTTTATTTACAATAAAATAAAAGAAATTAAGAGACAAAACTATTCTGTCTATTACAATGATAAACACCGGCATTATGCATCATTAATTTGTAATGTTTGATCTAACTAGAAATAAACACCTATTGATAAAGATGATTCTAATAAGAATTTTCACTTATTTCATCATCTTCACCGATCCATAAACATAATGAAAATGAGAATTGATTGTCGATTCGATAAGTAAAATTCTTTGTAATTTTTCGTTTTGAACAAGATATTTGTTTCTGTAACCATGAACGTGTTATTTGAATTGATTTATTTCTGTCCTGATGACCGAAACCAACATAAAAATATCCACTGATCAGATTCCTAAATTGATTGAGTAAACATTTAATTTGACTTTTGGAATTAATCGAAATATGTAATCGTTCGACACATGGAAAGAGTTGCGACCAATCGAACGGTTTAATTCCTTCAAAATTTCTATATTCAGGCAAACATAATTTTTTAACTTGTTTTAGAGATATATTTTCCAAACATTGATAAGACACACGAGGATAAGCATAGTCCAAAGTAAGAGAATTAACAGCTGGCATTTCTTCTTTAATTAATGTGATAATCTTGTACAGTGACCATTCAGGGGTACTGACAATAAATGATTGTACTTGTGAGAGATCAACAACATTATCTTCAATATAAGAACACTGAAGAACGAGATTTTTCACATAATTATAACCAGAAAGTAATTTGCATTCATCGGAATCGAATGTAAAATCAGTGACACAATCATAAAAGATATGATGTTGTTCGATAGGTAATGTGGTACAATTTGGTGATAATGGAACGGATGGATTCTTGATTAATGTTGACGCAAAGTATGGCACAGTTAACAGACACGAATGACTAGAATCACAAGCAACATACCAATGTCTACTCAGCCAGAATGGACGACGATATTGATCAATGATATTTGTACCGCTACTCCAAGAAGAAATGATGAAATTAAATGTTGATAATCGTGATAAATGGCTTGAAAGAAATCTTTCCCATTGACCTGCATCAAGAAATGAATGTTCAGCAAGAGAAGGAATGACCAATTCTAATCGTCGTAAACGTTGCAATGGAGCAAGAAATCGTTCGACATAACTACGCATTATTTTATGACCAGAAAAAGAAACAAATGGTAAATATGATTTTGCATGATTTATATACTTACCACCTCCATTAACGAACAAATTTAGAGAAATAAGTGAAGATAATCTTGTTTTTTCTTGATGAAAATTGATGAATGCATGTAACTCATCCGAATCGAAGAACGTAATAGAAATTTTCAACGATGTAAGGTGAATAGCTTGATCAAAGATTTTTTGTAATTGTCGACAGCTACAATTGAATAATGTCAAGTGACGTAATTGTTTAAATTGAATCATCGAAATCGATGAATCAATATTAAAATGTATGCCAGATGGAATATTAATAATAAATGTTTCGAGTGATGGTAAACTTTTTATCAACGGAACGTTTATGTTCGTATTGATTTGAAGAGATAATAGTTTTGGAATTTTGCATAAATTGGAGAAAAACGATCCACCATCATCATCTAATTCGATAAGTTTTAATGCACGTAAATGAGTAAATTGTTCAATAGAAAATAACGATTGAAATAATTGGGATTGATTGACTGTTTCTATTTTATCCGATAAAATTAAAGTAATTAGTTGTTCTGGTCGAATGGAACGACAGACAACATCAAAATGAGATTTACGAATGGATTCGAAATTGATCAAGTAGTGCTTATAGTTTGATAGAATACTATTCAGATAATTACTAATATTATTAAATGAATGGAGGATTTCATGAGCCCAGAAATAATCAAAGATTATATGAAAGATTTCGACTGGAATACGATCGAGAAGAAGAGACATGATTATCTGAAAGACAAAAATAACGACATATCCTTCATTTCAAATTTGAATCGATTGAACAAATACTAGAAAAGTCTCGTTCGTTGAACCAATAGAAAAACTTGATAGATGGATTTATTTATAGTACGAAAAACAAAGGAATATTCCTTAGTCGTGTTTACGGAGACATCAACTGCATGATTAATTGAGATATCGCATGAATTAGAATAGAATACAAGCGACTGACATTGTTAGCTCTTATTACGATGTAGTTAAGAGACAAAACTTCTGATTTTATTGAAAAGAAACTGACGTATTTATACATCGATAACACATCCCTCGAACATAGTACAAATAGTTATATCTAAGTGAAATCATACCTGGAACATAGTACACTTATCGATTAGTGATTACATATAGTTATATCTAAGTGTTATTCCCTAGATCATACCTCGAGAAGATATGATGATCTAATATATATAGGTCAACATTATGATGTGATCTAGGGATCAGATCATAACAGACATGTTCAATGCTCTTTAAAATAAAGAACCAAAACTCATAAAAACAATTATTTTATTCATTGACATAAATTTATTATTAGTATTGGATTCAAGTAGATCATCAAAGAAACAACAATTATAACTACAGCACCATGAAACAATTTCATATTATCATAGTATTTTATGGAGGTGTGAGTGAGGGTGTAGGTGTAGCTGTGGCTAAGGGTGTGAATGTGCGTGTTTTACTCTTCTTTTATTCAAAGTCATATCCACACCCACACCCACACCCTATAAACATCTTATAATCAGTCCAATTATTATCATTATTTTAACATTACCGCATTTAATTATTTCATTCATTTTAAACTGTAACAAATCATCCCATCCATTATGGTTCTATCTAAGCGGTTATTTCCTTTCATTTATACCATCCGCATTTATTTTTCAAATTTTTATTCTACCAGCACCCGTTTATCGAGAAGAATTTATGAAATTAAAATCACATATCCGCCGACGTTTTCATATATTGAAATTAAACGCATCTGCATTATAATATCTTTGAAGATATATGACTGAAACAATATTCTACATACTACGACAAAATCTCGATTTAACAAACTCGAAGACATGACATACTTTCAAGAAAGAATCGACTTTATCCACGTTGTAAAATTAATATTCTCCGTTAGCATATACTTTTAAAACTTTAGTTATTGTTTTGAATATTATTGTAGGAATAAAAAATGTTGCTTGTTTAATATTTGTCTCAAATTGAGGGTGTGAGGGTGGATGTGGATGTGAGTATGAATGAAAGATATAGAAAAGACATTAACACCCTCAAAGTTATATGCTGAAACTTGAACTGAAGTCGCAATTTATTCCATAAAAATAGAAGTGAATTATAATTTTCTTTGCATTTCAGTAAGATGTTGTTGATACAATCTACGAGAAGGATGATTTGGGGGCAGTGAGTGTAAGCCAATTTCAACGGCACGCTCATGAAATGACATTGCTGTTAAATTATCACCCATGTTCTCGTGTAACAGACCAATATTGTGATAAAGAGTAGCCAAATGTTTATGCTTTGGAGGAAGAGCTTTTTCTTTGATATCAACTGCCTTTCTATAGAACTCGAAGGCTTCTGCATACTTTCCCATGTTACTATGCAGTAGACCAAGATTGTTGTAGCTACCACCCAAATTGGGATGATTTTCAGACAAACATTTTTCTCGAATTTCGAGGGCAGCTATATAAGACTCGAATGCCTTCGAGTATTGACCCATTCTATCATACACCTGGCCGATGTTATCATAAGTGGTAGCCAAATCTGGATGATTCGGCGGAAGACATTTTTTTCGGATATCATGGGCCTTTCTGTAGAACTCGAGTGCTTTCCAGTATTCTTTCATATTCTTACACACCATACCGATGCTGTTGTAGGTAGTAGCTAAGTCTGGATGATTTAGAGGTAGAAAAGTCTGTTTGATTTCAAGGTCCTTTTGATAGAACTCAAGTGCTTTCGGGTATTCTCCCATATTTTTATGCACCAAACCGATACTGTTGTAAATGGTAGCCCTGTCTGAATGGTCGGGATGGAGATATATTTGTTGAATTTCAAGTGTTGTGTGGTAGAACTTTAATGCTATCGAGTATTCTCCCATTTTATCATATATTTGACCGATTTTGTGGTGCGCAGTAGCCACATCCGGATGATTCTTTGGAAGAAACCTTTTTCGAATTTTGAGTGATTGTTCATTGAAGCCAAGTGCCGCACTATAATCGCCTTTCCAAGATTTGGCACATCCAATCTGATTATATAGGTACGAAATTTCTTGTTTATTATCTTTCGACGTGTTTTCGAGGAGCATCTGATAGACTTCTTCAGCCTTATCGAAGTCTCCCGTTCGGATTAACATTTGACCCATTTGATGCCAACCTGTTGATCCTTGTGTTTCTTGTCGAATGTGTTCGGTTAGTCGTTTCAATTCTAGATCATTTTCATTGGTCGATCTGAGTTTCACCCGCCAGAGTCGATCATCGATCGATTCAATTTCGTCGATCCGAAATATGGTATGCATGGAAAATAAAATCTCTTCTTCTGAATGAAAGAAACTCCATTCCTCCAAGGAGGCATATGGAACAGATGTGAGAGCGGCGTCGATGTTTATTTCAAAAAGTATACCTGTCAGTGCCGGATTTTGTCGCGAGCTCTCAGCATATTGAAGAGAAATTTGTCGATTGGTACTCGTCGATAAAAAATTGTTAAATGATATAAGACCACCATGACGCATGTACATCTTCTCGAAGTCAACGTTCAATAATCCCTGGCCTCGGTAGACAGTGAAGTTCTCAGATGGCTCTGTATACAATCGCTTGATTTGTTGATGAAGATCTTGTATGAAGAATCCCATTTTAAGAATGTTGTTGATTTCTTGTAATCGGAGAGCTCGATTTAGCATTTGATAGATGAAAGAGTCTCGGGTGTACCACCAGACTGGTGTATGTTTGTCATAATCTCGTTCAAACTCATCAATTGTTCGTAACGCATGTGGATTGTCAACATGGTGTGTCCGACAAAAGTCAGCAAAGTCTTTCTTTTCCTTTTCACTATATTGTATTTTGATCAGAATTTCTTTTAGTAATTGTGTATACATGAATGATGATTCGAGACAATTCAGATCTCCATACGCGAAAGTCGTTTGAAATGAGTCACGGTTACACTGTTGAGTAGTTTGTTTAAGAATAACACAAAGTTGCTTTATATCATTAAATATCCCCTTCATCTTTATCCACTCATTCCCCCACTGTTGGTATTTTGACACGTTCTCATAAAAAACATATATGGCGTAAATTTGAGGCATACTATGAATATCAGTCATTATTGATTGGCTAAATTCATCAGACACGATCATAAATACTTTTTCGTCTTTCACCGTGCTTAGATAATCGATACATATATGGGCACTAGTAAACATATCAATTGTATTGACGATTTCTCGCATTTGTTTAATAAAGTTCTGATGCTCGTCATTGGCTTCATTGATTTTTGAGTCTAGCCAAATAAGAATGAAATTCTGGACGACGAAATGACGTCTTGGTTTTTGTGAAGTGTCATTCTTGTAGAAACATGTTTCTGCACTAGGCAGCAGTATTTCTGACCCATTTGCTACTACGGTTGAATCCGAGGTCCGGAGAGCGTTAACATCATTGAAACGATTCGAATCAGATGGAATCGGTCGCTCAATCAGTGTTCTGTTTCCTGGTTCCAGTTTAATGATCTACAACGGTGTGTCGCTCGAAGAAATTAGAGTAGTCATATTTATGGAAGCGCGGATGGAATAGAATTACAAAGATATCTTCAAACACAGTGTAGATTTCAACTTAAAAACATTTGACATTTATTTTATGGCTGCCAACTTAACACAGATATAACATTTTTGAATAACCTCGCAACATAAACAGATAAAGCTATCTAGTTTTCAGCAAGGAGAAAAAGTGAAAAAAATGGTACTTCTTCTTAGCTTAAGGGACTTCAGTAGCACTTCGGAATTAGTTTCAGCTTGCAGCTACTTGGAACTTATTTGAGCTCTGTTAGTGTCTTTTATCAAATATACACTAGTTTGGCTTTTCTGATATCTATCCAAGGGAGAAAAGCGAATTGTGGGTGGGTTGAATATAACACAAACAGCCACACTCACGAGATCCTTCTAACTAAAAAAATCATACTGACAATTATCTTACAAGTTTGTTGCTAACTCATCAACAACTGGTATGCACTTATGTCGATGGCTTCTAACAGATTCTGCGGATTCCGGGGATCCGCTTTTCCTCCTTATTGTGCCAATCCAAACGGTGGCCTGTTCCTTTCTCTCTATCACTATTTGCACTTAGATATTTGCCCTCATAGGAGCACAAATCTCGATACTTTAGCCTCACTCGTATGCACTTTGATCGAATACCTTTTATCTATACACTGAATGATGACATTACATGTAGAGAGTGGCATTTTCTATATGATGTGGCATTTTCTATTTGATATGGCATTTTACTATATGA